AACATATTATAAAGTATTTCAGGTTGAGATTGTCTGGTATCGGTTGTAATATTCTGGAACAATGTTGAGATTTTCTGTCAAATAAAGCTTCCAACTAGCTAATTGTCAATCGGATACCACCGTCAAAATCTGTGAACTCTCTATATAGTGGCTGTCATTATAGCTTGTTTCTTGTTATGACATTAGCTTTGTATGGTTAAGTCCTGTTGGTCTATTGATAAAGATACTAAAGAGAAGTGGTTTTTAAAGCTTAGAAAACGAGATGTAAAGTCTAGCGCTGAAGAGCTGCGACTCTTTTCACAAAAAATCTTACGATTAAAATTGATCGTAAGTTATACTGAAATGTGTATGACTTACGAGTATTTTCACTCTTAAGTTTTTTTGTGAAAAGAGCCGCTGATGTTAAGTAAACGCTGGAGAAATAAAGTCTAGCGCTCAAGATGTAAGGTCTAGCGCTGTAGATGTAGAGTCGAGCGATGTAGGTATTAGGTAGCAATACACAGTTAGGAGTTTGGTTTCGTAGTTCGGCCCCGGTGAATTTGTCAAATAAGAAAGTTGGTGTGCAATAAAATTTATTTTTAGATAGCTGAAGAATAATATAATTTTCAAAAGGGCTTTATATGAACATCAAGATTGTTTTTCGCATATTTTATAGTGAATTTTCTGTTCGACCGTCCTTGTATCACATCCGTACCGACATTAGGTCCAGAAATTAATGAAGCTTTTTTTTTTAACATTTTTTATACGTTCAAACTTTTCAATTCAATTTTATCGAAAAATTATGTTAAATGCATATGGGTTTTATTTGACGTCTAGATAGATAAATGTCATTGGTTTCGTAAGAAATAGAAAACAAAACTGTTAGTGTATACGTTTATATTGACTAAGAAGAACACTTATATACTGATATATATATACGTTACGTATTGAAGAACTCACTGTCATCAGTTTTGTCAAAAACTCACTGAGCTGGCAACACTTGTTTGTTATTATCAATGAAATAAATCATGCACTTAAATGATACCATTGTCCAGAATAGTAGATGTTTATAATATCATTTTCATGAGGCAAAATTTCATGACAATCCATCTAGTATGAAATATTGTCTCAATATATGGGTCATTTTCAAAAAATGTCGAATTTTCAGTACACCCATGCTAAAATTTGTATTTCTAATGGAAATTTCAGTTGTAATGGTTTAAATGAAAGCTTGTCGGATTTATGATTCTGAACATCGATAATAAACACGATTTACATCTATTTTGATAAGATTAAAATGTATTTAAGTCCGATTTTGGGGGGTATTTGTGTGCGTACAGTGTCAGAAAAACACATTGCAAATGATTTTTTCCCGATTTTGTGATCGCCTTGATATCTGCACAAGGGACTTTTTAAGAACGTTAATAATTACTCTAACGAAAAATCGTAGCTTCTTAATCATTATATGTAACATATTATCTACAAACTAAATTCAATCAGCGTACGGGAGGTTCATTTCCATCCTGTTACCGCCAATTAAATCAGCCGTGATATTGTTCTCCCTATGAATATCGAATCAGTCAATGTTGATTTCAAAAGTTCAAAGTTACCTTTACATTTAAAACACCACGTTTCTTGTACGACAGTGTAGAGAAAAGAAATTTTAAGACATTTAGTGAAAAAAAATAGAGGGTACTTTTTTCATGTCTATGCTGTTACCAACAATTTTGATTAATTACACCAACAGTATACTTGTAAAAAGTGCATTATCGTGTTGGAAATCAAATTCACAACAGAAAACCATAATCACTTCACCAACGGGAGTAGTCATTTCACAACAGCATTCAAAAATGAAGAAATTTGTCTATCCTGTTATGTCTATCCTGTTACTATGGTTGCTATGGTTACAGTAACAGGATAGACAATTGTAGACAGAAACGTCGTTAAAAAAATTATCTTAACATATAGTTGCAAAACGAATGAAATATTTCGTTGTTTGAACTCATCTTAAAGTTATAACGTCTTATTCTTCCCAATTAAGCATTTGCAGGTGCAATACTGATATCGGTAACAGGATAGACAAAAAGGTAACAGGATAGACTTTTATATAGTGACATATCATAAACGTACGTTCCTGTTACCAATGAAATAAAGAGAACTTATGAGGGATTTACTTGATGTTGGGTTTATTTGAAAGAGAGAAAAAAATGCCGAACAATATGAATTGCTATCTTAGACTTGCATTACTGGTGGTAATTTTTACAACCTTTGAAAACCAATTTTTAGAGGCATTTTTCAGTACAACCTGGAAAATTGGCAAATAATCTATTATTTTACAGAATGAATATATATAGAAGTTTATTCTCTTGAAAACCATCTAATTGGCTACGTAAAACAAGCTTAAAATTTTATCTAAACCTTTTCTTAATAACCCAAAATTTCTTTTGAAAATGGTAACAGGAGAGACAAAATATTGTACCACCTATCAAAACATGTTTCAAGATATTCTTGTATGACATTATTAAGATTGCATCTTTTAACATGTTGTTCTTTAAGTACTGTTTGTTTTGATTTGCTTATGTAGAGGGTTGCTTGAATAAGTAACTTTTAATAAATTTTTCAATTTCAAAATTCGACATTTTTTGAAAATGACCCATACACAATATATAACCATGATAACCTTGGATAATATAAAATAAGAAGATGTGCTTGTGGTATAATTGCTAATTAGACAACTCTCCACAGAGACCAAATGACACAGAAATTAACAACTATAGGTCACCGCACGGCCTTCAACAATGAGCAAAACCCATACCGCATAGTCAGCTATGAAAGGTCCCGAATTGAAAAATGTAAAACAATTCAAACGAGAAAACAAACAGCCTAATTTATGTATGCAAGATAATGAACGAAAAAAAAAATGATACACAGAAACAAACGACAACCACTGAATTACAGGCTCCTGACTTGGGACAGGCACATACAGAATGTGGCGGGGGTAAAACATGTTAGCGGGCGCCCAATCCTCCCCCCGCTAACCTTGGATAGTGGTGTAACAGTACAACATAAGAAAAAACTATAAAAATCAGTTGAAAAAGGCTTAACTCATCAGATGAATACAAACAGAAATACATATAACAAAAACACAGAGTGGACGTGGCAGGGTACTTATACATCCCCACAACAATAAAAAGACACTAACCTCCCTTTAACAAGACGAAATTTTATACCATCCATCTATGAAATATTGTCTGTATATGGACAAAATTTCATATGGAAATTAGTCCTTCTCTGGAAATTATTTCATAGATAGGGACAAAATTTCATAATACAAAGTCAATATTTTGCTTTGCAAAAGTAGGTTTGGCTCATGTGTGTCCATTGTTGAACTACTGATAGAAGTTATTGCATCCGTTTTTGTTTTTTTTTATATCATCAGAATGAGGTCGTGCAATTATCGTGGCTAGGATGTAGTAGTATCGTAGTAAGGTCGTACTAGGGACGGCAAGCGCGTAGTTAGCAGCGCACTATTGTCTTCCTCATCGTAGTATGCGCACTATTGTCTTCCTCATCGTAGTATGATCGTATCAAATTAGACAATATGGTAGTAGAAGCGCAATAAAGACGTAGTGAAATAGGGATAGTCGCAGTGAAATCGTAGTAAGGTCGCTGCGAAATATTTTCCATTGGCTTCCCGATTGCACCACATTTTCAATACGATGCTTCTACCTCCATCCCGATCTTACTACGTCCGTACTACGACCTTCCTACGCTTCTCAGACAACGATTAGTTTTGGCCACGACTGCACTACGAATGTTCTGAGCATGTTCAAAGTTGGTCGTGGACCTCCACGATCAGGAAGACCTTGGCACGTCCTTACTACGACCTTACCACGATCTTACTACGACTTTCAAAATTGTTCATAATTTCTGAAAGTTCATATGAAATGGATAAGATTAACTCGTACTAACAGGGGCGTAGAAATTTTGTTGGTCATTACTTTAATAACCCTTTACATTCTAAAAATCTGTTATTTGTCACACTGTTATAACGCCAACAAATATTCTAATCAAATTTAATACATGCAAAAAAGGAGCAAGTTGTAGGAAATGCTATTTCATGTATTTCAAGTTACTGGAATCACTGAAAACAGTCCGAGGTCAGATGAACGGTGTTAGATTACTCGGCCGGTGTGAGTTGATTGATCGAGCCACAAGGAATTCGGGAATCATATTTTAGCATGTAATATGATCTACAGTACATGGCCAAAAGTATTCGTCACCTACATTTTTTGCAATATATTATGAAGGCATTTATGGTCGGATTTTACAAATAAGATGTTGAAAGACACAGAATTGTCTAAAGAATATTTCTTTGTTTTGTCATAGTTTTGTCTTCAGTTGTTTTTGTTTTCTCTTGGTGTGAATATGTATAAAAAAATACAATCTAATGGGTAGAAATATATAGGGAATTTCTGAACAAAAAATAATATTTGTATTTATCTCATGAGAAAATGAAAATGCTCCACAAAAATACAAAACAAACAAATAAAACTGTGACCATTCTGCTTCTATTGGTACCAAGTTGCTAAAATCAAACCAGAAATGACCCCAAATATGTTTTTGAAAAAAAGATAGTTTTATATGATATATATAGTGAAAAAAATCACAAGTGACGAATACTTATGGCCACACTCTGAATACCCAATGAAAACACTAGTTTTGTCCTAGTGTTTTCGTTGGGTAAAGAGCATATCATTACGTTCTAAAAAAAATTAAATTATTTTATTAAAACCACTTATTTTAGTTCATCTGCACTACCTATTAAACAATTTGTACAATATATCACTGAATTTCCTTATTTACTTTTTGATTAATTTTTATAAATAGATCATGCACCAATGAATAATCATCAACCTGCTTCATGGTTTATGTATATTCAAAAAAGAAGAAGAAAATAAGATTCCCGAGACTCTCTGATCGAGCAGGAGTTTCATAAGGGGAGATAATCCAATTTGTAAATTTCCCTATCCCATCATGCACCTCGCGTATGCCGCCATTTTCACAAACTAGAGAACACGAGAACACCAACAAAGCCGGTAGATATTGATCGAACAACGTATTTCTACAAAGGTTATGACAATGGGAGACAAAATGGACATGAGTTTAGATGATATTATCAAGTCAACCAGAAAAGGAGGTCGTGGTAGAGGAGGTGGTCAAAGAAGGGGACGCGGTTCCGGCGGCGGTGGTGGCGCAACAAGAGGTAGACGCGGTGGAGCAGGCTTTGGAGGCCGACAGACTCGAGGCGGTGGTGGAGGAGGAGTGTTTCGTGGCGGCATACAGAAAAGACGAACCAGTGGTGGTGGAGGTGGTGGTGGAAGACAAAATTTTTCCCGGGTAAACTTCAAAAAAGAAAAAATGTCGACTTCAGTCCTTGTTTTTGTTATAATTATATCATATATGTATACATGTCTGTACTGTCACTTATAAAATATTGTTGGTCATTACTTTAATAACCCTTTAATTGTGAATTATACCTCAATTCACGAATTATCACCAATTTCAATTTCGAATAAATGAAAGTCATCCAAGAACTGTCAAAACATTTGTTCAGACAAACAGCAATTCAATGCTTTATTAAAATGGCCAAAAAAGTTTTAGGAAACCTGTTATGGTATTTAACAATCACTTTTCCTATGTGGTGTCAGAAATTTTCTGTTAAGGTGTCAAATTTTACAGGAACCTTCGTGGTGGACAAATATAGCAATAAGGTGTATTCATGCTCTAAAAATATACACAAATTAATTATATTTTCGAAGAATTCCACGGTTTTCTACCTGTACCTTATATATTTTAAATTTATAAAGGAAAAGTCACCAAGTACAATATTTTTGGTGTTATCACAAAAATGGGGACATCAAAATCAGAATCTAGATGATTAAACATGATTTTGGTCTCAAAATATTTGTTTAATATCAGACTGGTGAATATGTGTCTACCCAACAGTATGTTTGCCCTTAAGTACCTAAGATAAAAAGCCTGGTTAGCTGTCATTTTGACAGCCTTTTGTACATGTTGTACATGTATATTTTATAGATGCCAGGTAAGTGAAACAAGATATATAGAATGCAACACCATAGGAGAGTTCCGGGATGGTTGTTTTCCAATCTCGAGATTGAAAAAAGTCATACCGTGTGACTTTTGGTCTGGGTCCCCCTTGCAATGTGTTGCGGGGGACATAGAAGTACTGAGTGTCTGTCTGTCAGGCATTGTAAGCGCTCTCACATGTACAATTCTTGCCAGATGTTTATAAAGCTTATATCATAGGTTTATATCAGCAATGTTTCAGATAAGTTCAAAAGTCAGTGCTGATCAACCATTTTAAAAGAATTATACCCCTTGGAAATATGAATTATATAGAAAATTTCATTGTTAGCACACTCAGGTGTACAATTCTTGCAAGATTTTTAGGCAACTAATATCATAGGTTTATATCAGCAATGTCAGTGCAAATCAATTATTTTTAAAAGAGTTATGTCCCTTGGAAATATTAATTATATAGAAAATTGCATTGTTAGCTCTCAAATGTGTACAATTCTTGCCAGATTTTTATCAAATTTATATCAAAGTTTTAGATCAGCAATGTCTCAAACAAGTTTGAAAATCAGTGCATATCAAATGAATTTAATAGAGTTATGCCCTTTGGAAATATTAATTACATGGAAAATTGCATTGTAAGCGCTCTCATTTGTACAATTTTAGCCAGATTTTTATCAAATTTATATCAAACATGTCAAAGGTTTACATTTGAGCAATGACATTGACAAGTTCGAAAATCAGTGCCCATCAATTATTTTAACCCTTTCAATGCTAAACACGGCATATGCCGCGATGACGTACGCCGCCAGCAACTACAGTGTCTTCCCTAGAAAATTTTTCATGCATGGTGGGTCCATGGTGAATTTGCAACGTGGGGCGTGACGCTTCTTTTTCAGAATAAGTTACACTACATAATTTATATGTTTAAAGCCAAATACCAATCTAATTGTTTTATTATACATGTACTACAGCAATTCATATAAGTCATGGAAATTTAAAGTTTTTATTACAGATGAGAGGAATTAATGAAAGACCTTATAAACAATAATAAAAATAATCCAGTCTGCAATAGTTATTTACAAATTAATGTCATGTACACATTATTGTGTTGATATCTTCCTTTGTTTCAACTTTCCAAAGGTCACCACACATTTTTAGTCCCCTATTGACGAAGTCGAAGGGGACTTTAGGTTTGCACTCTGTCTGTCTGTCCTTCTGTCAGTCCGGCAAATCAGTTTTCCACACTTTTTTTCTTCATGCTTGAAGATATTGATTTGATATTTGGTATATTGTTTTATCATGACAAGTTACAGATCAAGTTTGAATTTTGTTCCGGTCTGATGATTTTGTGCAGAGTTATGGTCTTTGGACTTAGAAAATTCACTCAAATAATCAGTTTTCCGCACTGTTTTTCGTCGTGCTTGAAGATATTGATTTGATAATTGGTATATAGTTTTATCATGACAAGTTACAGACCAAGTTTGAATTATGTTTCGGTTTGATGATTTTTATACGCCCGTTTACGGGACGTATAATGGTATACTGTTGTCCGTCTGTCCGTCCGTCTGTCCGTCCGTCGTCAACATGTCGGACAATTACTCAAAAACACTTTAACCAATTTGCATTTTATATTTTATGTTTCCGAGTTATGGGGTTTATTCATTAAAAAAAGGGGGATTTTCCAGTTTTCGGACAATAACTCAAGAATGCTTTCACCAACTTGCAAGAAATTGTGGAGAATTGTTTATATCTATTGACCTGAGCTCCCTTTCTATTTTTATATATTTAAGATTTTACGTTTCCGAGTTACAGGGTTTTATTCATAAAAGAAGGGGGATTGTCCAGTTTTCAGACAAAAAATCAAAAATGCTTTCAGCAGTTCTTATGAAACTTTGGTGAATTGTTTTTATCTATTGATGTAAGCTCCGTTTAGAATTTTATAAATTTTACATTTCTGAGTTATGGGGTTTTATTCATTAAAAAAGGGGGGATTTTCCAGTTTTCGGACAATAACTCAAAAATGCTGTCAGCAATTCTCATGAAACTTTGGTGAATTGTTTATATCTATTGATGTAAGCTCCCTTTATGTTTTCATAAATTTCTAATATGACATTGAGAATAAATTGAACTTTAATTGACTACATTTATTCAGAAACCTATAATATGTCAAATATTTGATACAATCCAAATTCAGACCTGTATCAAGCATGAATATTGTGTCCATTTTTGCCCCAACTGTTCAGGGTTAGACCTCTGCGGGCGTATCCAGCTGCGCTCAGCGAAGCAGTTTATTTGCAAAGTTATGGTCTTTGGACTTAGAAAATTCACTTAAATTATCAGTTTTCCGCACTTTTTTCGTCATGCTTGAAGATATTGACTTGATATTTGTTATATAGCTTACACCATGACAAGTTATAGATCAAGTTAGCATTTTGTTCCAGTACAATTAATTTTTAACCGGTAGGGGACTATGTATTGCCATGCAATACTCTCAGAATGCTTGTTCAAAATCAAAATCTTCCACCTTTGGTACTTCAATTGATGTATGCATTAAGCAATTCAGGCACTTTTTGGCATAGTCTGTTTCTCAAAGGTGTTTTAACTCTGTTTAAACATGAAAAACACCTTACACAATCAGCTGTTGAAACTGGAAAAACAAGACCAATTGCTGCATACTTAGACAGACAAGGATACAAAGTTCCAAGACTTGACTTTGTTCATTGCCTGCCTAAATGTCATGTCTTTACATTCTTTCACTAACAGTGTCCTCTGTTTGCTGATAGAATGGTTTCAGCATCAACAGCAAGTTGTTAAATAAAACTTTGAATGTCATCATTCCTTCACAGAGATTTTACAGGAAACAATAAAAAAAGTTTATTTGCGTTAATTACAGAAGTCGTCAATGAAGAATACCTGACATACGGACATACAGATGACATATTTGGCAATTACCTGTTTGGAAGCTAAGCTGATATTTTATTCATGACAATTAACTATTTTTTTTAAATACATCCCTGTCCGATTTATTTATAACACTTCATAATTGTAAAAATCCTATCTTGCCAAAATGAAAGAAATTTAGCCCCACTTGTGTAAAAAACGGCAAATGAATCCGCTACACTTAAGCCTTATGTGACTGATTGAAATAAAAATAGAACAACAAAAGAAATATTTCCGTAAATAACTACGTATATTTTGAAAGTTTTTCTATCAAATCTTTTAATTATTTCATAAGACACATCTTTTTCTCGGCCCGGTGGCGGTGAATTGTATTCTTCGATATAATCAATCAACCGTGACTAATCTAAAAATAACTGATTGTTATGACCAATCAAAAAATAATTCGTCGATGTAAATATAGCTGATGAAAAAACTGGGAAACTTTATTAAAAAAAAGTTTTGTCCATTCTCGGTGAAATTACGTAAGTTTTATTTTATAATACCAGAGACTATACCAAATTTTAAATTTCTACTTTTTAAAGATCACAGTAAAAAAATAACGATGTCAAACACCCAGCCGTTTTAAGGTGAAATTTATACTGGAAAAGGTTAAACTTTTTATTTAGCACAGAAAGATATGCATTGGAGATTAATCTGACTATTTATTTATCAGCGAACTGGCAACTTCTATTATGTAACCGAAGTCTCGCTGTATATTTAAAAACTTATCAAGAAGGTTGTAAAATCCCGGCACGCGCTACATGATGCATCCAATTATCAGTCGGATGAGTTTAAAACACCTGTGGAGTGTTGTCACTTGTCACTTCACTTTTAAAATATCTATGATAAATATTTTACACAGTTATAATTTTCACACATAGCGGGATGCATTGCGGCAATGATGAAAGCATGGCGGTCGAAATTTATACATAGCAGTACTGCAATGCTTGAATAGCCTAGGGAAAACACTGCACTACTGTTCGTGGCTTATGTCGCGATTACTATGGATTTTGCATCCAGACTCGTAACCATTCCGTTTTCATTCAGGTCCTCTCTAATTTTTCCTCGTGTGAATCGAGGATATTCAAGGTCACGTTTGTGCTAGAAATCGTGGGATTTAAATGGTAAAAGCATGCAGTAGAAGAAAAATCAATCAAAATATTTTGACAAATGCAAATGGCGAAAGTTGAAAAAAGACGCTGTAAATATGGAGATATTTCAGCATTTCTATGGCGAAACTGACAACGAGGAATAGTTAAAAGGTTTCTAGTTATCTCAATGTGTTAATTACAGTCAATTCGTGTGGGAAATATGATTTGGTCCATCTTTACGAGACGTAGAAAAAGGGGGAGGAAACGGAGGTTGACTGAAAATTTTGAGGATGGAGCCACTTATTTGCGCCACTTTTACATTATACGTTGTGTATGGTGCAAATACGCTACGGAATCGAGCGACTGGTGTCTTCTTTATTATATGGCAGATAAAACAACAAAATAAATGAAGATTAAAAGTTGTTTTTATTCAAAATTCAACACAAATACAATAATTTACACCTTTTACCTGTTAATTACCTGAAAATGCAGGTAGCTTGATGAAAACTTTACTAAAATAATTGCATAACATTACAGGGAGAGCATTTTTCATGCACTAACTTTTTCTGTTTCTCTAATAATAAAAAAGATACAGTACTACATTGTGCATCTCAGAACTAAAGTATCATTGCAAAAATGGAAAGTCAATATGATTAGTTTATGAATTTACATACATTGTTAAGTTGTATTTCCATTTTTTTTATAGTCTAAAGACACACCAGATGTATGGAAGCATGATATGTTTGACGGAGATGTTGGCGTTATGAAGAGAGGTGGAGGAGGAGGAGGAGGAGGTGGGGTTGCTGGCAACACAAGTAAACTTCATATATCCAATTTAGACTTTGGTGTCAATGATTCTGATATTCAGGTACTATAAATTAAGATTTTTACATAGTTCCCAGTCTTTGCCTATAATGTAAGAATCTTAGATCTCTGCTGGAAGTCACCTTTTGATGCCCCCGCTGCAGCAGAGAGGGTATTTAAGTTTTACCCTTGTCCGTTTGTACGTACGTCCCAAAGCTGGTTTCTGTTCTCTAACTTTAGTTTGCCTCAAAAAAATGTTATGAAAGTTATACACAATGCATATTACCACAGAATACAGATCAAGTTTGAAATTGGGTGGTGTCACTTTTACTGTTCTTGAGTTATGCCCCTTTATAAACATAAAAATTGCTGAATTTTTCATTTCCGTTCTCTAACTTTAGTTTGCCTCCACCAAATGTTATGAAACTTATACACAATAATTACCACAAAACTCAGATCAAGTACAAATTAGGGTAGCGTCACTTTTACCATTCTTCAGTTATATCCCTTTATAACTTTATTAGATATGCAAGCGGGGGCATCATCTGTGTCCAATGGACACATTCCCCATTTATTTACATTTGTCAAATAGTTTGAAATATGGGAAAAGAAACATTATGTATGCAACTTGTTATCTTGTATTGTTGATTGGTTTTCTAAAAAAATATCTTAATTAGATTATCATATAGGAATTCAGAATATGAATGAATGAAAGTTTTTTAAGGGAGTACATGAATATATGCATATTAAACAAAAATCATTATAAATATAAAATAATGTAAGGTGTAATAATTTTTTTCATAAAATTTAAAGACTTAGAATAACAAAATGTTAAAAATATAAACCTGAACCACATAATACATGTTAGTTATATTTAGTAATGATGTAAGAAGTACGACTGAAAATTATTTGTATTGGATACCCTTGTAAAAATACAGATATACCAGTAACTAAGTAATTACACCCTGCATACAGACCATTATTTTGTTATTTAAAAAAAAGTTTTAACAACAAAGTTCTTTTCTTGTTGTTCATTTTGCTCCATGTATTCAATTTGTACTGTGAAAATCTTTGTGCGTCTCTATATAAACAATACCACCAATTAGAAATTAACATGATTAAGATACAAATTGAATACTTTGAAACATGCTTACATGTTTATTTATTTTCCACAGGAACTGTTTGCAGAATTTGGTCCATTGAAGAAGGCAGCTATACACTATGACAGATCTGGAAGATCTCTAGGCACAGCAGAAGTCATATATGAGAGAAATTCAGATGCTGCAAAAGCTATGAAACAGTATAATAATGTTCCTTTAGATGGTAATAGTTAATGTTTATATACATGTACATTTATAGTTGCTCAGGAAAAACATCTTTTGGTCTGGAATCAAATAGTTACTAAGCTTCAACTCTTCACATCTTCCAGTTGAAACTTAATAACAATATATTGTGTTAATTAATGTTTGATTTGCAATATGAAAACCCGCGGCAAGATATTATTATATATCAACAGTATAAAGATACATTTAGAAAATAATCAACACTGATAACATTTTTAGAGGACTAATGTCCTTTTAAAATGTGAAGTATGTGTGGAAAGTTCCATTGTAAGCACCTATATTTCTTGTCAGAATTTTATGAAATTTTTATCAAAGATTTGTATCAGCAGTTAATGACTCAGAGAGACCAAAAATCAGCACTGATCAAGGCTTTTATAAGAGTTGTGTTCCTTGTCAGAATTTTATGAAAAGTGAAAGGGTTTATATCAGCAATTTCTTGGAAGCTGAATGATCATTTCACTTAAAATTGAAAATTAATGGAGTTATTGCCCTTGGACAGATATGATATATACTGTGTAATAGTAAAATTCAAAATTGATGCATGTTTAAAATGGGATGCTGAGACTGCTCTATGCTCTTCATGATAAAATAAACATACCCGTACATGGAATATCTGTTAACCTGACAATGTTTATTTTTAGGAAAAGAATGATGTAATGGTTATTAGGCATACTGGTATTAGTAATAGTGGATTTTAACGACTTATTTGAAAAGAAATTCTTAGCTATCTTTCCTTTAGTATGATACTTTATTTGTCTTATCATCTTTAAAAATGACACAATAAAACAGGGTCAATTTTTCTTGAATTGGACAGTTGTGCAACCTTAGTGGGTTGTGTAGTCTTGATATTTTGATACCTACACATGCACATGTGGTAACTGATGATACCCGAAGACTCCATTAGTCTGTTTTGGCTTGTGTCTAATCAAGTTTGTGTTTATGCAAATAAAATATGGTTAAACTAAACTGATAACTCCATTTCCCATAAGAAATTGTATTTTACATTGTTTTATGTTATAAAAGAGATTTAAAACTATTAATTCATTTATATGTTAATGTTTTAGGCCGACCCATGAATATTCAGTTGATTGGTCCAACAGATTCTGGTTCAGGTGATGGATTTAATAGGAACAGACTAGGAGTTGGCAACAGAAGAGGTGGTGGTGGAGGGGGAGGAGGAGGAGGAAGAGGACGAGGGTATGTTACATGAATATTATTATTCAGGTTTCGCCCCATTTTCTAGATTTTCAATATCTTTAGTTGACTGCATATACAGTAGATAATTACTTTTGTTTGTCAGTTTATCAAATTGAAGAAGGAGAAAGTTTGCAGTTTTCTATTGTGCTGTTGATGTTATACCCTGAGCTCCTGCTGATGAAAGCAGAAATATATACGTGTAGTGATCATTGTGTCTATATTATAAAGGAGATGTGGTATGATTGCCAATGAGACAACTATCAACTAGAGTTCAAACTTAATGTGGATGTAAGTCTCTATAGGTTTGTCCATATTTTGTATTTAAAACTATTGCTAAAGCTACATAACTGATTGAGGATATAATAAATATAGTTGTCCCCCGCATAATGCGTTGTGGGGACATGGAAATACCGGGTGTGCGTCCGTGTGTCTGTCCGTCCTTCTGTCCCGTCTTGTTAGCGCTCTCAGGGGTACAATTCTTGCCAGATTTTTATAAAACTTATACTATGGGTAAATATGAGCAATATCTTGGACAAGTTCTATCATGTTGGCTGATCGACTTTTTTTAAAAGAGTTATGCCCCTTGGAAATATTAAATTTATGGAAAATGGCCTTGTTAGCGCTCTCACAGGTACAATTCTTGCCAGATTTTTATAAAACTTATACTTTAGGTTAATATAAATTTGACAGATTATTTTTATTTATTTCTATTTTCAAACATCTTTCATTGCAAAATTGCAAATTAATAAAAAGCCAAGATAAGCAATATAACCTATATTTACATCATTACTTTTTAATTGAAGTTTTAGTCGTGGCAACCGACGGGGAGGTAGTGGTGGTGGAGGTGGTGGATTTAGAGGTCGGGGAGGAAGAGGTCGTGGGGGAGGAAACAAAAAGCCTAGAACAGCAGAAGAACTTGATGCTGAATTAGAAGCATATAATTCAAAGGTAAGAGTTAAAATTAACTATTAGGAGTATTAATGATTTCATCATGAACATATTTAAAAAACACAAAATTATGCTTTATTAATATAAGCCAAAGAATGCATATTATACAAAGTTAATATATAAATTTTCTGCCAGAATTGAAATGATTTTGGTACTGAATATGATATCACTACATTCATGTACATAGCCAGAAGAGTGACACTGGATCCTTTGCAACTCTAGTTTCATGATATTATTGCCCCCGCAAACGGGTTGTGAATGACATAGAAATACCAGGCGTCCGTCTGTCCAGTCTTGTTAGCGCTCTCAGGTGTACAGTTCTTGCCAGATTTTTATGAAATTATATCATAGGTTTATTTCAGCAATGTCTTGGACGAGTTCGAAAATCAGTGCCGTTCAATTATTTTTGCCCCCTGAGTAATTAAAAGAGTAATTCCCTTTGGAAACATTAATTATATGGAAAATTGCATTGTTAGCACTCTCGTGTACAATTCTTGCCAGATTTTTATAAAACTTATATCATAGGTTTATATTAAAAATGTCTTGGACGAGTTTGAAAATCAGTGCTGATATATTATAGGTTTATATCATCAATGTCTCAGACAAATTTGAAAATTGGTGCTGATCAATTATTTTTATAAGAGTTATGCCATTTGGAAATATTGATTATATGGAAAATTGCATTGTTAGTGCACTCATGTGTACAATTCTTGCCAGAATTTTACGAGACTTATAGGTTCAGCAATGTCTTTGACACTTTCGAAAATAAGTGCTGATCAGATATTTTTAACTAGTTATGCACCTTGGAAAAATAATTATAACACAAATCACATTGCATTTGTTCTGAAGCCTTCATTTCTCTAAAATATTTATAGATTGCTTTAAAGATAGGAAAATAAGTGTTTTTTTAGTTATTGCCCTTGGATAGATAAAAATATGTGCAACATGGGGGACATTGGAACTCTGTTCTTTTATAAGCATGGCCTTACAAATGTAAGATATATATAGCCTTTACAGCTATATATCTCTTAAATTTGTCGGGTGGTTAACTTATCATAAAAAATGTCCTTGGATGATTTTGATTAACTGATTGATTGATGGCTGCATACAGCTTCAAATATTAAGTACGTGTTCAGAATGGTTACAACTGAACAAATTACTGCTTTGAATAGACCCACACGCTATAAGATGTTGCTTGAATGTTTCAAACTTTTTTTTGTTAACATCACACAAATTATTATGAAAAGTTAAACTTAATCAAAAGTCACTGTGTACATAGTATAAACCAAGAATGATACTTGCATTACATATTTAACTACAATCCCATCCCCTTTTCCTCGAATGTGACCTACCAAATTAGACTTATCACCGAGTTTCAGATTGTAATTTTAATTTAACTCATTTGCAGATGGAAACCGATTGATGGTTGAAAGAACTTATATAGGAAAGACCATTAAAGGAAATAATTCTCACTGACACTTGATTGAGTATTGTAGTTATGTGAAAACTTTATTGGAGTGACTGGATCCATCATCGAGTAAAGAGTAGAATGAAATATACTGTGATCATTGATAAATTCTTTTTAGATTTAATTTCAGTGAACAGCCTAATTAGGCTTTGAGAGCGTGTACTCTACAAATGAAATAGAAGAACTATTTATATCTCATTTCAAATGAAATTTTCATGTTTTTATTTTGTTGATTTTAATATTTGCAATTCAGTTATCAAAGTAATTTATATTTGAATATAATTTTATTTTGTTTTATTATTTTAAACGATTTAAAATTAAGACTTCATATTTAACTTATTCATCAGTAATGCATTATTTAAATTGTATAAAGAGAAAAAGAAAAATACACAAATGTTTCATTGTGGTTGGGTATAAATTGAATACATTGAATAATAGTTTTATTTGTTTTACTGTTACTATTTATGTTGATGTTTTTTGTATGTCATACAATTTAAATGTCATGGTTTCTTCAGGTATATGAGCTAATTTATTAAACTTGAGAACCTGATAAAGTTGTCATCACACAAATCACTTATTTTTTATTATTGTTTTATCTTGATGTGTAAGATTGATCAAATCAGTTGATAGAAGAGGAAGTTGAGTGGTTGTATTTTTAGGCCAATAGGAAAACTTCAATTTATTTGTTTTCCATATCACATATGAAATAGTAAAATTACTGCAGTACAAATGAAGTTTGACAATGAATGAATGGGAAAATTATTTATATTTTGAAATAGTAAAGGGTTAACATGAATAGATTGTAGTGTATATGAGTAATTAATGGTTACGTTCAGTTGTAGTTGTTTTATTTGGCATTTTTCTATGTTGGGACACTAGCTTGATTACTTCAGTATCTCTAAAGTTTGAACACTAATGCTGTGTTTTATATACTAAGTATATAATCTGCCATTTTGCACAGTTTACAAATAATTACCTTTGAAACTAAAGTCTCTACATTTTCTTTTAACTTATTTATAGTAGAAAAAATTAAAATGGTAAATTCTATATACATGTATATTTTTCCAAAACAGGATGAAAATAAAGAACAGATATGTACATGTAGAGATGAAAAATTCTTACTTTGAAATATGTATTGGATTGTCATATGAATGAATGATTCATTTAGAATCAAAATCAACTATTGTCATTGTTAAATTTCTGAAAAGGTTTTATAAAAATTGATTCAAAGGCAGACAACTCTCTACTTAACTGACATAGGGGATATAATCAAATATTATATCAAAAAATATACCTCTTTTTTAAAATGTTCAATTGAATGTGATGGTTTGAATTGATGATGAGAAAACTAATATTGCAAATGTTCAATTTGCTAGAAAAGGATCTCTAAATTTTTAATTTTCATTTAAATATTTCTTGCAGGAAGGATTTAGCATTTCATTTCCATTTATCAATTCATCTTCATCAAAATATGTCTTGTAAATAAAATATTTTTTATTCATTTGGTGTATTTTATTGCTTTGTTCATCAGAATATGTAATGCAGTTTAAACAGAGGATATGGCCATCTCTGCACATGACATATAAATCAATACAGTAGACGTAGTTCTCATAGTAAATGTCCTTAAAATATTGCTTAGGTCATCACAGGACCTTATGTCTAGCACATATTTCATTTGTACAATATGTAACATGCAAGCTCTATAAAAAAAGTGACCTTGAATTGATTTACATTATCATAGACATAAGGTGGACATATTTAGTTCCTGTATTTTGCACACAGAAAATGTTCATATGTACCCTTTAGACAAAAAGTTCTAGAGGCCAAATACTTACACAAAAGAGCATAAGAAATACTTACACAAAAGAGCATAAGAAATACTTACACAAAAGAGCATAAGAGGAAGTTGCAACCTTAGTTTTAGTACAGTATCTAATATAATATCGGGGGCCATTGGTCAAGAGGGTCTAAGTAGTTCAGCTACTGTTTGACTTGCCTGTCAATACTGAGGTTGTGAGTTGGACATGGCAGGTGCATTTGACTCCAATCTTGATTGACTAGGATTGTCAGTTTTCCTACCAAAGGTGGATGGTTCTCTCCAGGCACTGCAGCTTCCCCTACCAATAAAAACTGGCTGCCACAAAATAGGCAACTGTGCTGAAAGTGGCGTTAATCACCAATCAATCTAATGTAATATTTACATCATGCCATTACTGATAAAAGGTTAATGATGCATGAGCAGATGGTACTTTAAGGGACTGACCCAATTTTAGCAATGAAAATGTATGATACCAATTTCTGTGTGCTAGACACTTTGCTGTTTCCTAATCAAATGCATTCTGGATAAAATTTTAAAAGCTTACACCAAAACGTGATATATTAACAATGTTCAAAACAATGGAAACTCAACCAATTACTTGTTGTTTTTTTTTCAGTTATGAACAATTTAATAACCCCCAGTCCTTTGGTTTTCAAATACGTTGCAGAAGGTGGAAGCAGGTCTAGTAATTGCTCTCGACTTCTTGTCAAAGTTTTCTTGACTTCTATGAAAGGAAATGATTTAATATTTGGTCTGCAGCTTTATCCTTGATCTCATTTTCATGGTTCATTGGTCAACGTTAAATTTCTGTAGTTTGGTTCTCTTCTAAGATACTGTAAGTTATATGTCTGGCAGGGTTCATCTGACCTTGACCTCATTTTCATGGTTCATTGGTCATTATTATGCTTTCTTGGTTAAATCTGTTTCTTAGATATTATAAGCAATAGGTCAACTATATATGGTGCAAGGAATGACTAAGTGTACATGTCTGTCTAATGTATCATCTGACCTTGACCTCATTTTTAGCTCACCTTGCCCAAAGGGCTAAAAACAGAACATAGGGGTAAAATGCAAGTTTTGTCTTTTATTTTGAAACCGCTATAGTAGGGAAATTCTGATAGGGCAAAAATGTTCAGAATGTTGAGCTCTACCTTTTGTACATTTACGTCAAAACACTCGTACGACTTCTTGTAGACTTAAATGAAGAATTTTACCATTTTTTAAAATTTGTCTATCTCAAAATATTATAAGATAGACAGAAACTTTAACTTTAGCTAAAATGATCATCACGATGAGATCTACAAAAAGTCAACATCGACTCCTTTTTAGAGTTTTTGCCCATTAATGACAATTTTTTTCTATTTTTAGCTCACCTGGCCCAAAGGGCCAAGTGAGCTTTTCTCATCACTTGGCGTCCGTCGTCTTTAGCTTTTTACAAAAATCTTCTCCTCTGAAACCACTGGGCCTAATTTAACCTAACTTGGCCACACTCATCATTAGGGTATCTAGTTTTAAAAAAGTGTCTGATGACCCTGCCAACCAACCAAGATGGCCGCCATGGCTAAAAATAGAACATAGGGGGTAAAATGTAGATTTTGGCTTATATCTCTGAAACCAAAGCATTTAGAGTAAATCTGACAAAAGGTAAAACTGATTATCAGGTCAAGATCTATCTCCTCTGAAATTTTCAGACAAATCTGACAACCTGTTGTTGGGTTGCTGCCCCTGAATTGGTAATTTTAAGGAAATTTTGCAGTTTTTATACGACCGCAAAAAATTTTATGCGGTTGTATATTGGAATGACATTGGCGTCGTCGTCCGAAGACACATTGGTTTTCGCACTCTAACTTTAGTTTAAGTGAATGGATCTCTATGAAATTTTACCATAAGGTTCAATACCCCAAAAGGAAGGTTGGGATTGATTTTGGGGGTTATGGTACCAACAGTTAAGGAATAAGGGGCCAAAAAGGGGCCAAAAATAAGCATTATTGTAACTTCCAGACATAACTTGTGTGTTAGTGTATGGATCTCTCTGACATTGTACCACAAGGTTCCATATCGCACAGGGAATGCTGGGATTGATTTTGGGGGTAATTGCCTCAAAATATTAGGAATTAGGGGCCAAAAAAGGGGCAAAAAACAAGCATTTTTCTAGTTTCATGACAATAACTTGTGTGTAAGTGTATGGATCTTTCTGAAATTGTACTACAAGGTTCCATATCACAAAGTGAAAAAGCTGGAATTGAGTTTGGGGGTAATTGCCCAAAACGTTTAGGAATAAGGGGCCAAAAATAAGCATTTTTCTAGTTTCCAGACAATAACTTGTGTTCAAGTGTATGGATCTCTCTGAAATTGTACCACAAGGTTCCATATCACACAGGGAATGCTGGGATTGATTTTGGGGGTAATTGCCTCAAAATATTAGGAATTAGGGGCAAAAAACAAGCATTTTTCTAGTTTCATGATAATAACTTGTGTGTAAGTGTATGGATCTTTCTGAAATTGTACTACAAGGTTCCATATCACAAAGGGAAAGCTGGAATTGAGTTTGGGGGTAATTGCCCAAAACGTTTAGGAATAAGGGGCCAAAAAGGGGCCAAAAATAAGCATTTTTCTAGTTTCCAGACAATAACTTGTGTTCAAGTGTATGGATCTCTCTGAAATTGTACTGCAAGGTACCATACCACAAAGGGAAGGCTGGGATTGAGTTTGGGGGTGATGAATCATAAGGGGGTTCAAAAAATTTGTTGGGGGGGATTTTTTTTTTTTTCCTTTTTTTTCTTTTTTTTCCTTTTTTTCTTTTAAAATTTTCATTTTAAGTTGGTTATTTATGTTTTATATTTAAAAGCAAATAATAATGATATGGTAGGAAATACACACCAAACAGGATGTGTAAATTATTATATAATAAGTATTGTGCAATAGCAAGAAATTTTTAACTGCACAGTATTGCACAATAGCAAGAAATCTTCAATTGCACAGTATTGCGCAATAGCAAGAAATCTTCAATTACACAGTATTGTGCAATAGCAAGAAATATCCAATAGCACAATATTGCGCAATAGCAAGAAATTGTCAATTGTACAGTATTGCGCAATAGCAAGAAATATTCAATTGCACAGTATTGTGCAAAAGAAGATACTTCCTATAAATTGCTTATTTCTTGACCAATTTCAATGGGGTTTTATTCTTGAATTCTTGGGGTTCTTTAATATGCTGATTCTAACCGTATATTAAGTTTTTGGATTTTGGGCCCCGTTTTTAAATTGGTCCACATTGGGGTCCAAAGGGTCTAAAATTAAACTTTGTTTGATTTCATCAAAAATTGAATTATTGGGGTTCTTTGATATGCCGAATCTAACCGTGTATTTAGATTCTTAATTTTTGGTTCCGTTTTCAAATTGGTCTACATTAAGTTCCAAAGGGTCCAAAATTAAACTTAGTTTGATTTTAACAAAAATTGAATTCTTAGGGTACTTTGATATGCTGAATCTAAACATGTATTCAGATTTTTGATTATGGACCCAGTTTTCAAGTTGGTCCAAATCGGGGTCCAAAATTAAACTTTGTTTGATTTCAACAAAAATTGAATATATGGGGTTTCTTTGATATGCTGAATCTAAACATGTATTTAGATTTTTGATTTTTGGGCCCCATTATCAACTTTGTCCACATTGAGGTCAAAAGGGTCCAAAATTAAACTTTGTTTGATTTCATCAAAAATTGAATTCTTGGGGTTCTTTGATATGCTGAATCTAACCATGTATTTAGATTTTGGATATTGAACCATAATAGGTGAATGTCCAATTTAAAATTTTTAAGTTCTTAGACCACATTCATTCTGTGTCAGAAACCTATGCTGTGTCAAATATTTAATCACAATCCAAATTCAGAGCTGTATCAAGCTTGAATGTTGTGTCCATACTTGCCCCAACTGTTCAGGGTTTGACCTCTGCGTTCGTATCAAGCTGCGCCCTGCTGAGCATTTTATTGGTTATTAACTTGAATATTATTATAGATAGAGATAAACTGTGAACATCAATAATGTTCAGCAAAGTAAGATCTACAATTAAGTCGTCATGACCAAAATTGTCAGTCGACCCCTTTAGGAGTTATTGCCCTTTAAAGTCAATTTTTAACAATTTTTCGTAAATTTTTGTAATCTACAAAAATCTTCTCTGAAACTACTGAGACAAATTTAACCATTCTTTGCCATAATCATTATTAGGGTATCTAGTTTAAAAAATTTATCCGATGACCCTGCCTTCCAACCATCAGGGCCGACTTGGTTGAAAATAGAACATAGGGGTAAAATGAAGTTTTTGGTTTATATCTCTAAAACTAAAGCATTTAGAGCAAATCTGACAGGTGGCAAAAGTGTTCATCAGATTTAGATTTATCTGCCCTGAAATTTTCAGATGAAAATGACTCCCCGTTGTTGGGTTGCTGCCCCTGAGTTAGTAATTTTACAGAAATTTTGCAGTTTTTTGTTGTTATTATCTTAGATATCATTATGATATCTAATACTATTAATTATGATTTTAATCTTATTTTACATGATTTCCAAAGCATCAGTAAATACAGGTGAGTGACACAGGCTCTTGAGAGCCTCTAGTTTTCAAATTTTTGCGCTTTTATCTTCAAAAAAGTTAAAATTATCAGCAGGATAAGATCTACAAATATGTCAACATGACTAAAATTGTCAGTTGACTCTTAATACAGTTATTCCCCTTTAATGATGATTTTTGTCGAGCCTGCGACTTTTGTCGCAGAAAGCTAGACTTAGGGATAGTGATCCGGCGGCGTCGTTAACTAACTATTTAAAAGCTTAATATTTCAGAAGGTAGAAGACCTGGATGCTTCATACTTTGTATAAAGATGCCTTATGTTATGAAGTTTCCGTCTGTCATATGTCCATTGTCCTTGACCTCATTTTCATGGTTCAGTGACTACTTGAAAAAAAAGGTCAGATTTTTTGTAATGATAATTTCTATCTAATTATGAGTAATAGGATAACTATATTCGGTATGCGAGTACCTTGCAAGGTCCTCGTGCCTGTCAGACAGTTTTCACTTGACCTCGACCTCATTTCATGGATCAGTGAACAAGGTTAAGTTTTCGTGGTCAAGTCCATATCTCAGATACTGTAAGCAACAGGTCTACTATATTAGGTATATGGAATGATTGTAAGGTGTACATGTCCAACTGGCAGATAGTCATCTGACCTTGACCTCATTTTAATGGTTCAGTGGCTAAAGTTAAGTTTTTGTGTTTTGGTGTGTTTTTCTAATACTATATGCAATAGGTCAACTATATTTGGTGTATAGAAATATTTTACGATGAACATGTCAGTCTGGCAGGATTTTCTTGACCTTGACCTCATTTTCATTGTTCATTGCTCAATGTTAAGCTTTTGTGGTTTGGTCTGTTTTTCTTTAACTATAAGCAATAGGTCAACTATATTTAGTGTATGGAATGATTGTAAGGTGTATATGTCTGTCTGGCAGGTATCATGTGACCTTGACCTCATTTTCATGGTTCATTGGTCAATGTTAATTTTCCTGTTTAAGTTTGTTTCTTAGAAACTATATGCAATAAGTCAACTATATTTGATCCATTGAATGATTGTAATTTGTACATGTCTGTCTGGCATGGTTCATTGGACCTTCACCTTATTTTCATGGTTCATTGGCACTGAAACTTCAATATAAAGTTTTCATGGTGTGGTCTATTTTTTGTATACTATAAGCAATGGGTCAACTTTATTCAGTGTATGGAATGATTGTAAGGTGTACATGTATTTCTGGCTTGGTTTATCTGACCTTGACCTCATTTTCTTGGATCATGTTAAGTAAATGTGATACTTGTAGTAACACTTTATATTTAGGACTATCAACATAAAATCAAAGGTCAATAAAGCAGGCAAGACATTTCAGTGTGTGCACTCGTTATTAAAAAGTGGCCATTTTTGAAGATGCAGGTGAGCGACACTGGCTCTTTAGAGCCTTTAGTTATGGTTTATTGGTCAATGTTAAGTTATCATGGTTTAGTTTGTTTCTTTTACTATAAGCAAAAGGTCAACTATATTTGGTGTATGGAATGATTGTACGGTGTACATGTTTGTCTGCCAGGTGTCACCCGACATTGACCTTATTTACATTGATCATTGATAATGTTGAGCTTATGTGGTACTTGAAGTAAAACCTTTATTTTTAAGATTTTCAACATTAAATCAAACAAGATTAGTAAAGCAGGCAAGACATTTCAGTGTGTGCACTCTTGTTTTCCTTTCTGGTTGTTATGAACCATGTCCAACTTTTATCAAACTTTGAAGGATAATGTCCCATACTATTATCCTTTAACTGTATGTCTAACTTTTACCTAAATTGGTTTGTTAATGCTTTGATGGGTGGAGATCCCTACTGGAATTCGGGAAAAAGGTCAAAGATTAAGGTCACAGCAGCTATTGATAGACTGAATTGTAGGTTTCAACGTGTTATCTTTTGAACCATGTGTTAAACTTTAAAAAAAATTGATTTGTTAATTACAATGATGACAATGATTACTAACACCTCTTTTGATTTTTGAGGTCACTAGGTCAAAGATTAAGGTTACAGCAGTAATTGACAAAGACTAAAATGGTGGAAACAAATTTGTTTTTGGATGTTATCAATTAACCATTGTGTTTTTGCCCATTGTTGAAGATGCACATAGACCTAGGTAAGCGACAAATGCTCTTTTTTACCATTGTAACAAAATGACACAATGTGAATGCTAATCCTGTTAGATTGATTGCCAGAAAGCTCTGATACTTGTTAGGATTGTTTGTCACCATGTGTAGTTGACCATAGTGTACAGTCACTTAGATTTGACAATTTTTGTGTGATTTTATATGGGACTTTGACATTTGTTTTACTATTGTAACTCAATAACGCAATCTGAATGCTACTCCTCTGAGATTGTTTGCCAAAAAGCTTTCATACTTGGTACAATTGTTTGTCATCATATGTAGTTGACTATACTTTACTGTTTTTTTTTATTTGAGGTATTCTGCTGGTGTTTGTTGTTTTTGGACTTTTAACTTTCCTCAGCCTATTGCAGGATACTTACACCATACACACACTTCACAGTTCTTAGGGGAGGGGGTATGTTTATACACTTGTTTATTTTTTATTTTTCTTTGTTTGAGGATGTTTGTTTAAATTAAGATTTAAAAACAAAAAGTTGCAAGCTCTGTGGTTCTAAGCATACCGTCTTGTAATTCAAAGTATAGGAAAAGAGGAAGGTATCTAAAAGATCTGAACAGTGCTTACATGTTACAACTACAAGTCATCACTGTTAAAGTGCAGGTCTTACAAACCAGCTATGAAGTTATTTTGTTGAGAAGTCTGGAGAAATGTGTGACAAAAATATTTAGTTTATTTAACATGATATTGAAAAATTCATAGTATCAACAAACAGGAAGTAAGTGTCTGACAATCCAAAAAGTACTCACACATTACATCTCATCACTGTCAAAATCAGACCAAATATGAATTTATATTGTTTAGTAGTACCTGAGAAAAGTGTGACAATAATACTAGTTGGACAAAAAGTAAAATCACAAAAATACTGAACTCTGAGGAAAATTCAAAACGGAAAGTCCCTAATCAAATGGTAAAATCAAATGATAAAACACATCAAACAAATGGACAACAACTGTCATATTCCTGACTTGGTACAGGCATTTTCAAATGTAGAAAAGGACGGACAAGGTGATTGCTATATGGGATATTTAAATACTTTTGATTGCATCTTTGTAACAGTTTTTTTACAGATTGTAACAAGGTAAAATAATTTATATCTAAAAAAATATTCATGATGTATGATACCAGAAGACTATAAGGAGAATACTCAAACTCTGTTGAAGGACCTCTCATTACAGCATATTATCTTTTCAACAGCTACCTTATTCTTGATTATAAAAATCATTAAGTTAAATGGTGCTCAAGACAATTCTAGACTAAAAAGAAATCTTTCTGTAAAAAGCTGGCAATATTTATTAAGCTTCAGTTTTTACACATCAACATTTGTTACATTGTTTTAATGCTCCTAAACTAATCCATTCAATTACAATGAATTTGATGTTATGAAAAATAAATATTATGTCATTTTTTTTTAAATTAAAAAGGCTTAAATTTACAAATCTACAAATGTACATATATATTCACTGGTAATAATTTACACCTCATCATAAGTTAAGCAACACCTTTACTCTTCTCAATAGTCATACTGTTTTAAAAAGTGATAATATATAAGTTGGATGGGTTTTTTTAAAACAATTAATAGAAGGTATTCTTTTTTCCTTATATTCATTGATAAATGATTGTTTTCATGGTTGTCTTCAGATTTAGAAAAGGTAAGTCAGACATGTATATTTGAATAAAAATAAAGATCAAATTTTTTTTCTCTTAAAAATTAAAATGCATGACACAATACACATAAAACAGTCAATCTCTTTTTGCACAGCAATCATTTACAATGCTTGTATTCTACTGATTTTCTTTCTTTATAGTGTCTTCACTTTTGACAAGAGATAAAACTTGTTTTCCACTTAATATCTCTTTAAGACTTTCTGCACTGACTTTGAAAGATCCTATCTTGTTTAACATAAGAACATTACTGGTAGTGGAATAAAGATTGCTGGCTCCCTCATGATGTATGTCGATAGGAATGTTTCTTGAAGGTTGTTCAACTTCAGTCTTTACTGTAGGATCTGGCAATGTTAAACTTGTAAGACCTGACTTTACATTAGAAATAGAAGATTCTGTTAATTTTTGTCCATCTATTTTTGTGTTGACAGGAATATTTGGTTGTACTGTAGGCACATTCTGTAATTGATTCAATGAATGACTGTGTTCTTCAGAACCTAATGATCTTGCACTCTGACATGTATTTTCCTCTTCAGCTTTTACACATGGTAATGGTAACTCGTGTGATTTCATATGTTTGACAAGTGCTTTATTAGAACTATATCTAGCCTGACAAATTCCACAGTGAAATGGTCGTAAATGTGTGTTTTGATGTGTCTTATAACTCAATTTTGATTTTAAAGATTTTCCACAAATTGAACATATGAATGGACAATAATATCCTGTATGTTTTCTGATGTGTTCTTTTCTTTGACTTTTATTAACAAACATTTTACCACAAAATTCACACTCGAATGGCTTTGGTTTACTGCCTTCTCTTCCAGAATGATTTCTTTTGGTATGGACATTTAGATAATAAATATTACAGTAAGACTTCGGACAATACTGACATGAAAATGGTCTTTTACCAAAATGGGTATTTAAGTGACCTTCATATATCGCTTTTACAAAAAATCCTTTTTTACAAATCTGACAAGTATATGGATATTTTACATTTGCTGGGTCAGTGTGACATCTTTTAAAATGGTCATCTAAGCAGTTTTTTAAATTAAACTTTTTTCCACATATAGTACAATCAAACTTCTTTTCTCCTGAATGAATCCTCTTGTGATGCAATTTCAGATTTTTTTCTGATTTTGTCTTACTTCCACAAATATCACAACTGTAGGTAGTATTGCTATGCACTTCTTTTATATGTCTTTTTAAAACAGATAATCTGAAGAAAAACTTGTGACAAAGGTGACATGTAACAGGTCTATCATAGTTTCCAGTATGAATCTTCTCGTGTCTTTCAAGCAGTTTGTGTGTTGAATATTTTTTGTTGCACAAAGAACATTCAAAAACCTGTTTCTCGTGTTTTATAGAATGGGCATCCAATTCGGAGGGAGAAAGAAATTTGTGACCACATACTTCACATGCATGTCTTTTTTCTTTCACATGACGACGGTAATGAGCACTTCTGCTCTCAGTGGTTAAAAATTGTTTTCCACAAATACTACAAGTAAACTTATCAATAGAATGAGTCTGTTGATGAACGAATAAACGATGTTTAGATGTGAAATTCTTATCACATTCTTTGCATGCAAATGGTCTAGGTATTTGACTGTAGTGGTACTTCATATGAATAAATAAGTTGTATCTTTGGTTAAAGTTTTTTCCACAAGTCCTACATGTATGAACTAAGTTTTCTGTATGCATACGTTTCAAATGAATCTTTAAAGAATATTCAGAAAAGTAGAAATTTTTACATATCTTACACTGGCACTTCTTTATACCTTGAGTTCTAATTAAAGTATTCTGATCTTGATTATTTGATGATTCATTGATTTGTGACAAAAAATCAGGTTCTGTCTCTTTTTGTTGCATCTCTAATTGTGTTTGTTGAATATTCTCCATATTTTCCTATTACAATGCACTGTAATGTTGCATTTCTATATCTCTCTTTCCATTCTTTATTGCTCTGAAACCAGAAACATTCATTTAAATTTAACAGGAACAGAAGATTAACAAGAGGCTCTAAAGAGCCTGAATCGCTCACCTGTAAATTTTTGCTTTAATCTTTCATCAATGATTATTTTTGCTTTTTAATATATATTAATGAGTGGCTTAAAAATTCCATTAAAATGTCTTTGTATCTGTCATATTTTCTTCAAAAGCAAAGAAATACATTTTACCCCTATGTTCCATTTTAGCCATAATAGCTATGTTTCTTGACGTACAAGAAAATAAAATACAAAATTTATACTAGATACTCTAAAACTCATTCAGCCAAACTTGTTTGGCTGAAATTGATTCAGCAGTTTCAAAGGAGAAGATTTTTTAAAGTAAGCAAACTAGATGAACAAATTGTGAAAAATTGTCTTTAAAGGGCAATAACTCCTTAAGGACACATTTGACAATTTTGGTCATATAAAACTTATTTGTAGATCTTACTTTGCTGAACATATTTGCTGTTTACAGTTTATCTTTATCATTAATACTATTCAAGATAATAACCAAAAACTGCAAAATTTCCTTAAAATTACCAATTTAGTGGCAGCAACCCAACAATTGGTTATTAGATTCATCTGAAAATTTCAGGGCTGATAGAACTTCACCTAATGAACACTTTTACCCCGTCAGATTTGTTCTAACTCCTTTGGTTTTTTAGATATAAGCCAAAAACTGCATTTTACCCCTATGTTCTATTTTTAGCCATGGTGGCCATGTTTTTAGACGAAACAGAAAATAAAACACAAACTTTATTCTAGATACCCTAAGGATCATTCAGCTTAAGTTTGGTTAGAATTGGTTCAGTGGTTTCAGAGAAGAAGATTTTTTAAAGTTAGAAAACATGATTAACAAATTGTGTAAAATTGTCCTTAAAGGGCAATAACTCTTTAAGGGGTCAGTTGACAATTTTGGTCATATTAACTTATTTGTAGATCTTACTTTGCTGAACATATTTGCTGTTAACAGTTTATCTTTATCATTAATACTATTAAAGATAATAACCAAAAACTGCAAAATTTCCTTAAAATTACCAATTTAGTGGCAGCAACCCAACAATGGGTTATTAGATTCATCTGAAAATTTCAGGGCTGATAGAACTTCACCTAATGAACACTTTTACCCCGTCAGATTTGTTCTCACTCCTTTGGTTTTTTAGATATAAGCCAAAAACTGCATTTTACCCCTATGTTCTATTTTTAGCCATGGTGGCCATGTTTTCAGACAAAACAGAAAATAAAACACAAACTTTATTCTAGATACCCTAAGGATCATTCAGCTTAAGTTTGGTTAGAATTGGTTCAGTGGTTTCAGAGGAGAAGATTTTTTAAAGTTAGAAAACATGATAAACAAATTGTGTAAAATTGTCCTTAAAGGGCAATAACTCTTTAAGGGGTCAATTGACAATTTTGGTCATGTTAACTTATTTGTAGATCTTACTTTGCTGAACATATGTTCTAACAGTTTATCTTTATCATTAATACTATTCAAGATAATAACCAAAAACTGCAAAATTTCATTAAAATTACCAATTTAGTGGCAGCAACCCAACAATGGGTTATTAGATTCATCTGAAAATTTCAGGGCTGATAGAACTTCACCTAATGAACACTTTTACCCCGTCAGATTTGCTCTAACTGCTTTGGTTTTTGAGATATAAGCCAAAAACTGCATTTTACCCCTATTTATATTTTTAGCCATGGCGGGCATGTTTTTTGACAAAACAGAAAATAAAACACAAACTTTATTCTAGATACCCTAAGGATCATTCAGCTTAAGTTTGGTTGGAAAAAGTAGTTTCAGAGGAGAAGATGTTTGAAATAGTTTACACAAGACGGACGACGACGGAAGACGACGGACGCCAAGTGATGGCTAAAGCTCACTGTTCCTTCGGAACGGCGAGCTAAAAATATATTGTAAAATACATATTATTCAGGTTGTTATCAATAAAACCCTAACCATTGCAAACATTTCAATGGAATCATAAAAATTTAAAGTATCTTTATATGCAGAATTAGACTCCGGGATAAGAGTTCAAGAACTTAAGTTAATCATGAATCAAAAAGTTGATCCAGTCAAATTTAATTAAAATGCATGTCATAATGTATCTTCAGATTTCAAAGTGTTAATTTATTAATTAAACTAAAATGATTGTGAATGATATGAGATTGATTGATATGATTCCTACATACATTGTACATGAACTTATAGTATTTATAACATTATACAAAATTTACATGTGAAGTGAAGTTAGTATTGGGATGATCATACCCAGAAGTTCCAAAATTTTCATGATATAACTACCGGTATACAAGATAACCTTTTACATTTAAACTTTTAGATATTGACAGTGCTCCTCTTCATTAAATTTTTCAAATGAATTAAAGATAGCAGTATTTTAGAAAGCGACAAATTTGCATCTGCCAATTTTACCATTTTGTGGAGATTTCTCCCATCACAGAGCAATTGTACTGACTATTGAAACCCTGCATTATATATATAATAAATACATTAAAACAGGCATTCAAAGGAGGTCAATACGTGTAAGTAAATATACATGTATGTTCATTTAATACCACAGTATAATAGGTTAGAACACTTATAACATTTTGTAATTGATGCAGTAAGTTTTCTTGTGCTTAAAATCTACATGAATTTTTTTTTATAATGTATGACAAAATAACAAACTTTGTAAGAAAACTCTGTAATTCTTACGTACAGACAACATACATGTAAGTGTTTTTCTGTTTACACCAAAATATATATATTCACAACTTACAACCATGAGCCTTTCTAGTGCAATTCAAATATCTTATGTTAAGTCTTTTTTCATTAATGGGCATCAAGGCAACTAATATGGTTGTACATATAATAATGTGCGTCATGATGTCTTAAGTATCAATCCTATATTTGTACACATGGGGACATGTTAACTTCTCAAAATCTCTATCTGCTATTGATTTTTTTTAAAACACAATAGGCCCTATAATCATGCTAATGCATGTTTTTAAAATATTTTTATAATCTAGTATGCTATTGTCTTAATAACTCAATATGTGCTTAAATGCCATTTTAACTCCTTTGAAAGCATGTTTAAAGTAAGTCAATTTATGTAATAGAGGATTGCAAGAGTCAGGTCAACACCTTCCATGGGATAATCCCCCATATAAAAGACTACTACAAAGTTATCAAAGTACCAATGTTAAAATAGCTATTCCACTTCCCTATCAGTCAGTCTAATTGGCAGAGGCGCTACAATATCATTCAATTATTCAAAGTTCAATGTAGAAAATAACGAGCTTTAATAACCAATATTCTTAAAATTAATACCAAATGATTGTTTTTGAGCAATTTTAAACTACAGACAACATGGTATAGTTTTCTTTCACTCATGTCAAGCTATTAACTTTCAGTTATTTTCTTGTTCTTCTTTCTCGTAGCGAAATGGCAATGTTCAGTACGCAATGAATAATTAATAACAAAAAGTATTTCCCAAACTTTTATAGGTTATATGAACCATTCATAACTTTGTCCAATGCTACAATTTGTCTTACATTGATTTTACTATACAACATACTTGTACACAACACCTGACACAAATTCTTGTGTCTGGATTTAAAAATTGACAAAATTTTCCAACATTTATTTTTAGCGAGCAGATTGAACAATCAGAAACCTCAATATCTCATTTGAAAATTCACAGCAGTATGAACATTGCCATTTCGCTGAGAGAAGAAGAAATTATTAACAGTTGACCTAGTTGGAACTTGGAAGGCATATATGCAACGAAAGATTCCAACAACAAAATTGGGAGTGTCATTCATCTTCTTGTAGATAATTTAATGCAGATTTACAAAAAAAACCATTATAGTGGGAATTTCGACCATGAAATCAACCATAATGAAAAAAGGGTCCATTTATCATTTTTCAAAAATGCATAATGGGTGGACATCTTTTGTTGTTTGAAGGTATATAGGTAAACAAAATCTGAGACAAGTGCCTGTGATCAATTGATCTCAAATGGTCCTGCAAATAAAATAAGAAAAAAATCATATGAACTAAATTTACATAATTATATTTATTTTATCATTTATTGTGTAAAATAACAGTATCCTGATATAATTTTTCTCAGGGTCTTCTGGTTGTCCTTTGGTGGAGTTTGAAATTAAAAAGACCAACCCACTAGCTACAACTCTAGTTTAGAAAAAAAAAAGAGTTTTGGGACTGCCTTACCCTTAAACCATTAGGCATAATTAACTTGTTGAATTGTAGGTTAAAATGTTATATTGGGGAGGCATATATATACCCTTGATATACATGTATATACATAAGATTGGTTATAAGTTTTATTCTAATCTAAACTGTATACATGTTTACATTATTATATTTATAAGGAACCTGTTGTTCAGTGGTTGTCGTTTGTTGATGTGATTCATAAGTGTTTTTTGTTTCTCGTTTTTTCTAAAGATTAGACCATTGGTTTTCCTGATTGAATTACTTTACACTAGTCATTTTGGGGCCCTTTATAGCTTGCTGTTCGGTGTGAGCCAAGGCTCCGTGTTGAAGGCCGTACTTTGACCTATAATTGTTTACTTTTTACACATTGTGACTTGGATGGAGAGTTGTCTCATTGGCACTCATACCACATCTTCTTATTTCTATTTACAACAAAGTTTAAAGCACACAATTGATGGTATCATGGAAACAGTTCTCATATAAAGAAAACCTAGATAGTAACTTTAGCATCTGATAAGAACTTCAACTTGATAGTAAACATATGCACCCTGGTGTTTTCCCAGACTATAGAGTTACATATAGTTCATTGACTTAATTAATATTACATCTCTCCTTTTCAGCATGTGAAAAAATTATTTCTATAGTAACTAATAACAAATGAATAAATGTTATCATGAATGGAACAGCTGATCTGTGTTTACAAATCCAACCTATTTGGAGGTTTTGATATTCTCCCTGACTTTGTTACATACAAATCAGATTTATCAGATTGATCTGTTGTGTTATCTTTCAGTTCATTATTGTGAATTGGTATTTCATCTGGGATTGTTTCAAAAGTATTTTTAGCAATTTTAGTATCAGGCTTTTCAGGCAAATTAGAAAAGTGTCGCCAATTTCTACGAATTTCACAGCTGTCAGTTTCAATGATATAAGAACGCGGTTCATTTGATTCCGTTTTAATTATTCCTTCTTTCTTCTGATCATTTACCCAAACGCGATCGTTTGTTTTTACTTTAGAAAATGGTCGTGTTCAGTGTCATCTGTCATATGAATTTATATTCATCTTCCTTTTTTGACAACTTGCGAATGTTAGGCAATTCAGGTGCAAGGTTTTTCGGAGCGACTGGAACCAATGTTTTTAGCTCATGCCCCATCAAAAGTTCTACTGGGCTGTAACCATTGGCAAGAGGTGTTGTTCTGTAAGAAAGCATATATTATATTCGTCATCTGACTTTTTTTAGCATATTTTGAATGCTACGTTCAGATAGTCCTTTTGACTGGGCAAATCATGGACTTCTCAACATGTGTTAAAACCTATACAACTGCTCAATTGCTTGAATGTCAATAAGTTGTATTGAGGTCCACTGTCCGAAATAAAATTTCAAGTATTCCGTGTCTGGCAAAGATTGACTTAAAATGATTCACGACGGACTGAGAACTTGTGCTGGACAATTTTGCTAACTCGATGTATCTTGAAAAATAATCAACACTTATAACATATTTCCAACGATAGTGAACTCTCCCTGCAGACTCCAGTACGGTTTCAAGCTGCCACTTAAGCTAGATTTTTCTAGCCACCCTTCTTTGCAATATAACATAAGGGTTTTGCATATTTCATCTTTTACGCACTCACATCCCTAATGTTTTGAACTTCAGAAGTCTCATATCTGATGGCGGAAATTATTTATGATACTGTCCACGTTTGCTTTTGTTTCGGTCTCCAATTCATTGGACTCGTACAAGATGTCTACCAGCGATCTAGATAATGCATCTGCGATATTTAATTCCTTACCTAGTAAACATACATGAATGCACCCTGGTGTTTTCCCAGACTATAGAGTTACATATAGTTCATTGACTAAATTAATATTACAAAAATATAATAAGAAAGTTGAAAATTTTAGGAGATGGGTTTCTACTTATTATGCCACAGGCACTTGTTTCTGTCAATGGGAAGGTCGACTATCCATATAAAAAAAGAAAGTTATATATGGATAGTCTTTGAGGTTAGAGTTCCAGTTGGCAACCATATATCTCCATTTATTCGTACTTATTTGATATTAATTTTGTATTGGGAACAAACTGTGAGTGATAATATCCATTATCTTAGTCCAATAATTATCTAACCTTCTTTTTTGTTTTCTTTAGGGAAATATGCAGGTAGGGGAGAGAAACAACTGCACAATGTTCTACTTTTCTGTAACTCCTCCCTATGATAAGGAACACATCAATTATCTACAGAAGCTAAACTAATTTCTCCCATATACATGCTCTCTAATCTGAATAATTTTTTCTGATTATTAATTTATGTTTATTCAAATATACTTAAGTTGCCCATTTTTACATTGACATAGTGCTTTTAAGTAATTTCTACACATTAGACAGAATATTCATCATGTTGAATGTGGGCAGTATTTGGAAGAAGAAGAAGAAGGACACATAGTAGATCAAAGATAATTTGTAATGTTGTTTGCATTTGCTATTGATACTTTTATAGAAAAGCATACTGCCAGAGACATATATATGTCTCTGATACTGCAAATCAAATTTATAAACCAAAAAATCATTGAAAGATTTTATATTACAAGGAAATCTAATGGCAGCATATTTAAACTACTGTTATTGTAATAAATATCAAAATAAGAGCAAGAACAGTGGAAATAACTAAAAAAAAATAAAAATATAAATGAATATTAAATTATTGATAAAAGATGAAATTTGAAAAAAAAGGAAGGACAGGAGTTTTGAGTAAAAAAAAAAGGCAGGATGAGCAACTTGGCAAAAAAAAAAAGGCAGGATAAACTAATGAAAAAAAAGGCAGGACCGAATAGAGTGAAAAATAAAAATGCAGGACAGAGATTACAACTAAAAAAAAATGCAGGACAAAATTTTTCATCCCAGCCCCCCCATAAAAATCAAATGGTAGCTCCCTTACATACCAAAATAGATTGTCCTTTTACAACATGAACATTTATAGGGGACAACAATTTTTATATTCTGGGTGGGGGGAGATCAGGATTGACCATTTATTTTCATCCTAATGCTTATCATTTTCTGCAGTACGCCCCTTCAACCAGGCCAAGTTATTCATTTTCAAAATCCTCCCACCCTGAAAAGCAAATGGTTGTCCCTTTATTTGAATAGTTAACTGTATTGATGTTGTTGGATTTCCAATTTAGCATATGTCATGTTTCATTATTTCATTTTGGCTTCTATTAAGTGTTCTACAACTAATCTTTCTGCCCTTAAAACTAATTTCCTAAATATTTTTTTTTAAAGAAAGCAATAGGAAAATAATGGGAAAATTATTTTGGAGCATAAAAAACTCTTTGGATGTTCTAGATGTCCCTGGTTGGTCTCAGTCATAATTGTTTTTCTTCTTTTTTTTTCGTGGGTGGATAGATGTCTCATTAGCAATAATACCACATCTCTGTATTTTCAAGCAAAACAAAATAGGAACATGGTAAGTTGAGCTTTTACACCAATAGTGGCTTTTTACCCCTCTTTGTCTGTACTCAATGGGAACAAAAAGTTGATGAAAGAATTCTATCATCTTTCAGAATTAAGGTACCCTGTCATTGTTCCTGTGACTATTTTATGCTCCCTTTACGATAACAAGTGGTTCAGTCCATCCATCTGTTAATACACATCAGGTTAAAGTTTTGGTTTTAAGGTAGTTTAGGGGGTTTTGATTCAGATTTTGTGATTCATTGAACATGGAAATGTTATTGTGTGAGCTTGGCATGGTGTCTAATGTCACACATATTCTTGTTCTTAAGTAAGTCAAGAGTAATTAATGGACACAACAAAAAGCAACACAGGCATTTTGGATTCTCTTGGTAAGGAATGGCAGAATTATTTGTTGAAAGTCTGGAATATCAGGGGCGGATCCAGCTATTTTTAAAAGGGGGGATCCAACCCAGGATAAAGGGGGTTCCAACCATATGTCCCCATTCAAAAGCATTGATCGTACAAAAAAGGGGGGTTCCAACCCCCAGTAACCCTCCCCCCCTGGATCCGCCACTGAATATACATGAAACTTCTATTCTTTAGCAAATTTAAGTGATCATATATAAGAATAACTAGTCTATTGCCAATTCTTTAATTGACCTAATCGGAGATCCATTTGTATGAATTTATTTCCCATTAAGTCAGGGACATACATTTTAAAGGACGACAAAGAGTTACCAAAATGGGCAAATTTGTCTGTGCATAATATGCGTACTCCCTTAAAGTTTTTCAAATCTGTTAATTACATTTAATGTTTTGGAAAGGTAATATAACTTTTGATATCAGTTATTATTGTTTTAATTTATTAAAAATTGGTTAAAACGATTATATATCACTTTCAACTTATCATGCTTTGCATTGGCAACAGTCCAGTATAGAACCAATCTATATTTGACAATTTAGGGAAACAATTTGTGTTAAAAGTGAGTAATTACAGAATCAACTTGGTAATTGCCAAATAGACTATTAGCTCAGTAGTTCTTAGAAAGTTTAAAAATAGAAAACAGTGATTATAACAATGGACACCAAATAACTTTATTCCATGCCTAATATTCTTTTCAGATAAAAAAAAAACATATCTAGACAGTGATTTGTCTGCAGAAAAAAGTGAAACTACAACACTTAATCTTCTGGTTGAAAAATGTCCATTGGGTCAGATCACTTCAAATATGCTGCCAATTTGCAAAATTATACACAGTCTCAATTTGTCATTATTTCAAGTCTTCATTTTACACTAGTAAAGGGTTGTATGTCCAAAAAGAGTTGATACAAAATACTACAGTACCATGGATGCAAATGTCAAGTCCTAATATTTGTGGATTTTTAGTAAAAGCAATTTTGTGTCCAGAACTGCTTTTGGTTTTGGTAGTAGGGATCTTGATCTTTCTTATGAGCATTTTCCAAACAAAGGTGAACATTTAGCCTGGTTTAAATTTTGCCTATATTTTAGTCTATCAATTGCTCTCTTGACCCTGCATTTTGATCTGGTGACCTCAAAATCAATAGGGTTTTTCCAAAGGGACATGACCATCTATATCTGGGTGTATGGTTAAAAATTATTAAAAAACAAGCATTCTGTGAGTATTGCATGGCAATACATAGTCCCCTACCGGTTAAAAATTCATTGTATTGGAACAAAATTCTAACTTGAACTGTAGCTTGTCATGATAAAAATATATATCAATTTTCAAATCAATATCTTCAAGCATGAAGAAAAAAAGACCAGAAAACTGATTATTTGAGTGAATTTTCTAAGTCCAAGGACCATAACTCTACACAAAATCATCAGACCAGAACAAAATTCGAACTTGGTCTGTAACTTGTCATGATTAAAAAACAATACACCAAATATCAAATTACCATCTTTAAGCATGAAGAAAAAAAGTGTGGAAAACTGATTTGCCGGACTGACGAATGGACAGACAGACAGACAGACGGAGTGTAAACCTAAAGTCCCCTTGGACTTCCTTGTTAGGGGACTAAAAACAGGTATTAACTGCAGCTCAAGTAAAAGAAAGTTTGTATCACAGGTATAAGTTTGTTCATGACCAATATTTGTTATAAACAGTATGTTAAAGCATTAGTTCATAGTAAGCTTACATCAACATCATTTTGTCTCTGATTGATAATTGTCTAATTGGCAATCATACAACATCTCTGTCCATATTTTTATATTAAGCTTAGTTTTCAGTTTTGAAAGTTGTTACATGTATGCCTGCTTGATTTAAAGATGTGCTAATGATTGTTCTTACTGCCATAAAAGTATGTAATACACTGCAATGCTTTTTATAAATGCAAACAATGATCCTATGATCAACTGGTGTTGGTAATTTGTGGTTGCATAAGACTGCATATACAAGAAACTTACTTCTATCAGTAATATATATTTATTGCAATTGTAAAATTGATGACAGATAAATATATTAGCACTAAAAATATAGAAATGCATGTCATGTAAAATTGTAAACATTAAAATGTAGAAAGATATGTGAAAATGTGTGAGAATAAAACTAAAAAGAAACATACCACACTCCACATGTTCCTTTTTCAAAAATCCGTGTGTAAACATTCTTTTCACTGTTTAAGGGGTATTATACTGGCAAGAATAAAAAAATCACCTTTATAGTTTCAGCAAAAGATGTTTGAAAAAAAATTGAAATTTTAAATTTTGGTAACTTAGGCAAAAAAAAATAAAAAAAAATTAAATCTATTTGAATGAAATAACTGACAGTAAACATGCCATTCTGCATTATAACAATATCCATGGCTTTTATTTCATCTTCATATAAACTCCTACAATAAGCCAACATTAGCACAGTACAATATAACCCCTATACAGTATCAGACTGGTTAAGACATAGAATATGTCCATAACCTCTTACATCATAATTTTGTTTTTAAACATTCTATGTTGTAGACATAACATAGAAAAAGAAAGCATGGAAGTAAATTCAAAAGATGTTTGGAAGACTCTAATTACTTTTGAGAGTGAAAAGAATTCAAGCATTCTTCATATGAATTTCTGGAAAATATAGATATAGAAAAATCTAGTAAGCATGATTCTGTACAAAAATTTGTTTATATAAATACTCTATGATTATTCATTAATATTTACAATATGTACAAATGTGCAACGAAACAAAACAGAAATAGTTTCAAAAGTATTTTCAGTTCATCATTGTAGAAATTGCATTCATATTTATCCATTTTAAAAATATGGAACATTTCAATTTTCACCATTTTTGTTGCTGAAGATAGTAACTATTTTGCTGTCAGTCTGGTTTTATCCATAACTGTTTTGACAAATTTTATCGACATGATAAAAATACAAAAAACAATGACAATATAATTCATTGAACAGAAATGGTTACTGCTGCACCGTGAACTAATTTGACCATCAATACGCACAAATTTTCAGGTACTATCTAAGACAAGTGTAATATTGATAAATTAGGTGAGGTACCTCTGCTAGGATGTAAATCATATGAATTTTTTTAAATCTCCATGTAACTTTGACTTGCGAAATAAAACTTGGTTATCAACAGAACTGTAAAATATTCCCTTTTAAAAGTCTCAAGTAATGCACAAAGTTGTGTTAAGAATAGGGCTTTTCTTAATGTATATTTGAATATTCTATAAAACTTTAGAAAGGATTGGTCAGATTAAAAATAGATGAAAATGGCAACATGGTTATTATAATTCGATGATACATGCCATCTTCAGCAGTCACAAAAGAAGAAGAAAGGAGTAGGGGCAATATGGCCCTTAATTGGCCCAAATATTAGTGCAAATTGAAAAGTAACCATACATATTCTTAGCATTGTCCAAACTACACTAAGGTACAAGGTGTTCAAAAAATAAAAACAAATTTCACATTTAACGAGTTACCATGGCAACAAACTATGACAAAATGTGTATATTTTGTAAAATTTCTTGATTTTCCTTGTTTTAGGTCAACTCTGAAGTCTATATTAGATTAGAAAAGTATGTGCACACCCAAGAAACAACTTTATATTTGGTTAGAATATGTCAATGATTATAATAAAGCTTCTCTTGAATTATTTTGTTGCTTCCTGCATGCACACAATGTTTCCAGGAAGGAAATATTGATGGAAAACTATATAAAGTTAGCAGTTTTCTTTGTTTTCATGAAAATGGTGCAAATTATGAAGTAATTGTGATGTCATAACATCAAAAATCTTATGTAATTCATTTATATTGCTTGATTTTATGCATTTCCAAACATTATGTGTAAATTTGAAACAGTTCTCAAAAACCTTATTTTCTTGGGCCAAAACTAGGTCTTAATGCACCTACTCATTTCTTTTTTAATGCAGCATTTTATGTTGATGATGTGATCATTTATAATGACAAGGCCTCAAAAATTTATAAATAGTTATGGAATTGTTTTCAAGCTGATGCCATTATGAAGTAATATCTGAATGACATGAAAAATGAGAGTATTTTGAAAACAAATATGGCCATGAAATTTACATCTCAAATACCTGAATCTAAAAACTACTTGAACACATTTGGATAGGATAAAAACATCCTTTAAAATACTAATATGACAAATGGACTAAAACATCTTGTAAAATAACTGTATCACTAGATTTAGTAAAGTGCATCATTGGTAAAAAATGTTGGTATCCTTTGGAACTGCTTATGGTACAATATAATGAAAATTTATATTGACTTTAATTAACAATGTGTAAGTGAAAATTAAGTAAAACTACTGTGTTAGGAACTTGTGTTACATATTGTATAGAATGCATTACCAAATGAGGAGATTCAACAAAACTGAAAGTAAATTACCAACATTCTATATAAAATAATCCAAAATTACAAGGCCTTCAGAAATAAAATAACTATAATTTCTAAAACAGCTTATTTCTTATTCAAACTACCATTTGATAAAAAGGTCTATTTGGAAGATTATATTAAATTACTGGTTTATTTATAAAAAAAGAATCTGACTTGAGTTATTTAATATAAACGGTAAATTATAGACTACATATTCAATAGGTAATACAATGTTTGGAGAAAAACATAACAACAATACCAAAGGAATTTACTTAATCAAAAGATGCCACATTTTGTATACATTTACCTACAATAAGATATTTTATAATATGCATGACTGGTTCATTGTATTTCAAGCAAAAACATGTAAGTAGACCATAATATATTACATATACAATTCTACAATAGATATTGCAAATTTACAAAGCTTTTTAAACAGATATTTAGGTTTGAACTCAATTTTAATGCCATTTTTGAAGTCCTACTGACCATTAAAGCCACCAAAAAAATATGTTGTGCCTCAAGTTTTGAACATAATAGGTTGAGTCAGTAAAATTTCAATGTTCTGAAAAAAGTTGAACACAATGTTTCATAAGCAAATTTTAAGTTTCGATATCATTGGAAGAAATTGATGGTCAGAAACAGAAGGGTTTTTTGTTTTGTTTTTGGAATCAACAATAAATTTCAAGTTGAGCAAAATTAAATGGATGGTCTTATATTAAAACAGAAGCATAACACATTTTCTTTTGGCCTATTCTTTTTTGTAAATTTCACTGTCACTATGGTTTTGTATGGATGTCTTAATAACTGTCAAATCGATAATATTTGCATTTATTTCAGTATTTGTCTTATCTAAATATCCAATGAAATTATATATGCATGTCATAAATCCAAGGAAATCGTCTTATTTGATTGTAAAGTGACAGTGAAAAGTCTACATACTGGATTTAACAATTACAACCATTCATTAATTAAAACTGTACTTCACAAATCCTGTTTTTGCTACTGACTTTGAAATATTTGGCAGATTTCATATACTAACAAAACAGGGGCATAAATGTTAGATTATGATGAAAGTAGATCTTAAAACAGAAATAACTATCACCAGAAATAGAAAAATTCAATGGAACAGTAACTCTACAAGTTTACAAAAAAATACACATTCAGTGGTTAATTTTTTCTAGACAATGCAGATCTCAGAGAAATGTCTTGTTTTATATACGCAGAGACGACCCTATTTCACCTGTGTCTATATTTGCTGTTTCACTATAACAAGTATAGCACACAGTATAATGTTTTTTCACTTTCTTTGCTTTTACTTCAATACCACAAACAATGGTATTGTAAACATTTGAGTTAATGTTTATACCATTTCAATGTTATTTATTCACATCAACTAACAGTGATCAACACTAAGTTTCTGTTTAAGAACAACATTTATAAATAAATATATACAATTTATATCAATGGCATGAAAAATTATCCCCATCAGATAGAGATGCCAGTTGAAAAATTGAAAAAAATAAAATATACATAATACATATATACATGTATTTTTATTTCGAAAGAATGTCCAAATCAAGGAATGAGATTTCAGCAGGTGGATATAGGTGAAAAGTAAATGGTTGATTTTTTTTATATACAAAAAGATGGATTATATGCACCTGTATTTGCTGCCTTGTGGTTTACTTTAAAAGATTCTATCTTAAAATGAATAACATATACATTATGACTAAAATTATTTACAAAAGTAAATTTTCTCTCCTCTCAACTGAAATTTTAAATATTATTTTGTTAATAAATTCCACATATTTACTTGAGCTTTCTCACAAAAAAATATTTCTTATGGTTGGAGCATATTGCTTTTTTTTTTTGAATTGTATGACTGAAATTAATTCATTACAACATGAACAATACAAAATCGATAAACAAATATTTCATTTTTTTTTTCAAATTTAATAATTCATTTTATAAAAGTTTTATATGCTGAAATTTTAAAAATGATGTTAAAATATACATGTATAAATTTTCATCATTAAAATTGCATATAAAATCATTAAAATTGCATATAAAAATACTTAAGACCATCTTCTGATGTTCTCCATTACTCTAATGTATAACAGATACTTCATAACCATGATGGAAGTGAATGCATTAAGAAGTGCTGACTTCAATAACGATCATAACAAAATCAATTAACAAATACTTAAAGTTAAACTTAAAACCTGCCCAGCTGGTATTCTATAACAAATTACAAATGTACTTATGTATGTGGTTTGATTTAATGAAAAATATAAAACATTTTTCATTGGTGCATCAAAATGAACAAATAAAGATTAAAGCGAAACACAAAATAAATTGATGATATAAAGTATCGAAATTTCTTTCTGTAAACAGGGTGACTTCATGATGATGAGTTTGTCTTGCCTGATTCTGCTGCCTCTTGTCTCTGGTTAACAGTAAGTAACCTTTAATGAAAAAATTATACAGGTAATGTTTCCATATTTTTGTACTATTTATATTATGCTAATATTTTGTCAGTTCAAATTGAAGAAATATGTTTATACAAATCTTTTTTTTTTCTAAATTCTGTAATGATTAATAATTAACTTTAACTTTTTTTGCAGGACTGTAATTGACAAAACTCTACTAACATATGTAGTTGAACATAATGCCTGTTCAGGACTGTGACACTTGATTTTGTAATATTAAACCTAATAATCACATTGAATAATTACTTTTAAAACCAGACTTCAGAAATATACTATACTTTATGATGTATAGATGTTGTGTACAAGTTATCATTTTGTACAAATTATAATTTGTACAAAAAAATTGTACAAATTATAATTTGTATTTTGACTTTGTACAAAAAGTGCTTGTACAAATTACAATTTGTACAAAATTTGACTAAAATTCACTTATAACTTGTACAATATTTTCTAGTATGAATTTTGTTATAAAAAAGCATTGATACACACTACAAAATTGTTTTTCAATGACCACACAATAAACCCTATTTACAAAATACAAAAGAACCCAGATGGAGACAGGAAATGTAATTGATACATGCATGCCAGTTAATTCTGATAGTACAATAGAAATTGGCCCCAGTGACAATTGTGATAGAATAACAAAAATTGGCACCAGTGACAATTCTAATAGTATAGTAGAAATTGGCCCCAGTGACAATGTGATAGTACAATAGAAATTGGCCCTAGTGACAATCAGGATGACGCTGACGTTAAAACACCAATCAAACGTGCCAGGAAGCGTGCGCTGACTGGCCAACACATCCAAGCCAAAACAGAAATAATCAGAACTTGCAGTGGGGGATAATGTCATTATACTAATTCCTCAATATGACCGTGCCCCAACTGATCCTCGAAATATCTTAAGTGTAATAATTGAATCTGGAGAACTTGGGTACCGCATTGAAACAGCTGTAGGAATTTTAACAGGATATTTGTCGAGAAATCAAATTGAAGCTGTTAAAGATACATCTTTATTCGTCGCAACAGTTTCTGAGCTTCAACTTTCGCTACGTGAAGCAGTAAAGAAGCTTTCAAAAACTGGTGGTCAGGGGTTTCTTTCATGTAAATACAAAGGGGGATGCACCACTTCTGAATGTAAATGCAAAAAGCAAAAGATGTTGTGCAATTCCCAAAGCCATAATTCACTCACATGCTCAATCAAATGATACTGAACTATTTTTGTATTTTGTAAATAAGGTTTATTGTGTAGTCATTGAATAAAAATTCTATAGTGTGTATCAATGCTTTTTTATAACAAAATACATACTATAAATTATTGTACAAGTTATAAGTGAATTTTAGTCAAATTTTGTACAAATTGTAATTTGTACAAGCACTTTTTGTACAAATTACAATTTGTACAAAGTCAAAATACAAATTATAATTTGTACAATTTTTTTGTACAAATTATAATTTGTACAAAATGATAACTTGTACACAACATATAGATTGCATGGAGAATATTTTAAATTTCTTACAAAAGTATATACCGGTACATTGTTAAAAATATGAATATTTTATAAGATGTGGGTTAAACATCAATGCGACATGTGAACTGCCAGTTACAAAGAGAACCATATTCACCTGTAGTAGCCAATGCTTCTGTATTGATAGGATTTAATGGCTTATTTTGATGAAATTTTTACTTTATGAATTATATAATTGTTTGAACTAAGGTTTGGTTGCATGAACTCCTTCAGACATTTTTGATCTTTAGACAGATTTGGCTATATTCTGTTTGACCAGTTTGGTTTTGATGTTCACTATGTTGACAAAGGTTGTAGATATGTATGTGGTGTCATAGAATATATGTATCTGATGAAGAGTTTTTCAGAAATATAAGCCATACACACTGAAATTAGTTTCTAACTATTTCATTTCTAACAATACAAAAAAAAAACTAAAAGGTTTCTAGAGGTCAACATAGGTTTTTTTCATGATAGACAAGTGTCCATACCAAATGCCAAGCTCTACAACACCCTCAGATTAGACAAATTGAAAATGAAGTTAACAAAACTATCAATAAAATGCTTAGCTGAGCGCAGCCTGATAAGACCGCAGAGGTCAAACCATGAACAGTTAGGGCAAGTTTGGACACAATATTCAGCTTGATACTGTCTGAATTTGGATTGTGGTCAAATTTTTGATATAATATAGGTTTCTGACACAAAATAAATGTGGTTTAAGATCTTGAAAATTTGAAATGGGACATTTAATTTACCTAGAATGGTCTGATATCCAAAATCTAACAACATGGTTAGATTCAGCACATAAAAAAGCACCAATAATTTAATTTTAGTTGAAATAAGCATTCTGAGAGTATTGCATGGCAATACATAGTCCCCTACTGGGTAAAAAATCATTATACTGGAACAAAATGCTAACTTGTTCTATAACTTGTCATGGTGTAAACAAAAAGAAAATATCAAGTCAATATCTTCAAGCATGACTAATAAAATGCTCCGCTGGGCGCAGATTGATACGACCGCAGAGGTCGATCCCTGAACAGTTGGGGCAAGTATGGACACAACATTCAAGTTTGATACAATTCTGAATTTGGATTGTGATTAAATATTTGACACAGCATAGGTTTCTGACACAGAATGAATGTGGTCTAAGAACTTAAAATTTGTTAATTTACCTATTATGGTCCAATATCCAAAATCTAAATACATGGTTAGATTCAGCATATCAAAGAACCCAATATATTCAATTTTTGTTGAAATCAAACAAAGTTTAATTTTGGACCCCAACTTGGACCAACTTGAAAGCTGGGCCCATAATCAAAAATCTAAACACATGTTTAGATTCAGCATATCAAAGAACCCCAAGAATTCAATTTTTGTTAAAATCAAACTAATTTAATTTTGGACCCTTTGGACCTTAATGTAGACCAATTTAAAAAACGGGACCCAAAATTAAAAATCTAAATACACGGTTAGATTTGGCATATCAAAGAACCCCAATAATTCAATTTTTGATGAAATAAAACAAAGTTTAATTTTGGACCCTTTTGACCTCAATATGAACCAATTTGATAGCAGGGCCCACAAATAAAAAATCTAAATACATGGTTAGATTCAGCATATCAAAGAACCCCATATATTCATTTTTTGTTGAAATCAAACAAAGTTTAATTTTGGACCCCAACTTGGACCAACTTGAAAACTTGGCCCGAAAACAAAAATCTAAATACATGTTTAGATTCAGCATATCAAAGAACCCCATATATTCAATATTTGCAAACTAAGTTTAATTTTGGACCCTTTGGACCTTAATGTAGACCAATTTAAAAAACGGGACCCAAAATTAAAAATCTAAATACACGGTTAGATTTGGCATATCAAAGAACCCCAATAATTCAATTTTTGATGAAATAAAACAAAGTTTAATTTTGGACCCTTTTGACCTCAATATGAACCAATTTGATAGCAGGGCCCACAAATAAAAAATCTAAATACATGGTTAGATTCAGCATATCAAAGAACCCCATATATTCATTTTTTGTTGAAATCAAACAAAGTTTAATTTTGGACCCCAACTTGGACCAACTTGAAAACTTGGCCCGAAAACAAAAATCTAAATACATGTTTAGATTCAGCATATCAAAGAACCCCATATATTCAATATTTGCAAACTAAGTTTAATTTTGGACCCTTTGGACCTTAATGTAGACCAATTTGAAAACTGGACCCAAAATTAAAAATCTAAATACACGGTTATATTTGGCATATCAAAGAACCCCAATAATTCAATTTTTGATGAAATAAAACAAAGTTTAATTTTGGACCCTTTTGACCTCAATATGAACTAATTTGATAGCGGGGCCCACAAATAAAAAATCTAAATACATGGTTAGATTAAGCATATCAAAGAACCCCCATATATTCAATTTTTGTTGAAATCAAACAAAGTTTAATTTTGGACCCCAATTTGGACCAACTTGAAAATTGGGCCCCGAAATCAAAAATCTAAATACATGTTTAGATTCAGCATATCAAAGAACCCCATATATTCAATTTTTGTTAAAATCAAACTAAGTTTAATTTTGGACCCTTTTGACCTTAATGTAGACCAATTTGAAAACTGGACCCAAAATTAAAAATCTAAATACACAGTCAGATTTGGCATAACAAATAAATAAATGTGGTCAAAGATTTTACAAATCTAATGCGCCATACTGTGCAATTAAAGATTACTTCTTGAAATTTTTCAATATTTGAAATTTGAAAAAAAAAATATTTGAAGAATAATTCTTTTTAATTTCTGAAATCTGAAATGAGAAAAAATTGACCCCCCACAATTTTTTTTTACCCCCCCCCCCCTCCCCCCCCTTTTTCCCCCAAAAAATTCTTTCCCTCAAGATATGGTCATAATCTCAATTCAAATTTCCAATGGAATTTGCAACCATAATTACCCATTTAAATTTACCATAGTGCTAACTTAATCTATTTTATAATAGAATTTAAAATATGGTGTCAAATCTTTCAAATGGATTTTTTTGTAAAAAAAAAAAGATGCAACATTTGCAGATATTTTTACTGGACTTCCTTTATAAATATGCATTTCTTTAAACATAATTTAAAAGCAGTGTAAGGGAAGTAATCAAAACGTTGTATGTGGGTTACCTCCCTTACACTGTTTTAAATTGTCTTAATTGTTCATTAACCATTACTTTATACATAATTTAAAAGCAGTGTAAGGGAGGTAATTTAAATGATGTATTTGATTTATCTCCCTTACACTGCTTTAAATTATGTTTTGTACTAAAGTATTTGTCCATATAAAAATGCTTGTTTTTTGCCCCTTTTTTGGCCCCTAATTCCTTAAATTTTGAGGCAATTACCCCCAAAATCAATCCCAGCATTCCCTTTGTGATATGGAACCTTGTGGTACAATGTCAGAGAGATCCATACATTAACAAACAAGTTATGTCTGGAAGTTACAAAAATTTTTATTTTTGGCCCCTAATTCCTTAACTGTTGGTACCATAACCCCCAAAATCAATCCCAACCTTCCTTTTGTGGTATTGAACCTTATGGTAAAATTTCATAGAGATCCATTCACTTAAACTAAAGTTAGAGTGCGAAAACCAATGTGTCTTCGGACGACGACGACGCCATTGTCATACCAATATATGATCGCAAAATTTTATTGCAGTTGTATAAAAACAGTGTGGAAAACTGATTATATGAGTGAATTTTTCAAGTCCAAGGACCATAACTCTGCACAAAATTATCAGACCGAAACAAAAATTTGAACTTGATCTGTAACTTGTCATGATAAAACTATATACCAATTATCAATCAATATCTTCAAGCATGATGAAAACAAATGTGTGGAAAACACTCTAACATTAGATGTGATTAATAGTTCTCTAAAATAAGATATGATGTAATACAATGTATATTTATTTTCAAGTTATAATCAAATATAATTAATAGTTCCAAATATTTCTTCTTTCATTTGTCACAAACTAATATAGATTTGTAACTCATCTATAAAATGTCAGCAACTTTTATCTATACACAATGTAATGTAATGAAATATACACCTTAATAACAATAGATTATTATCTAATTAAAAGATTTCACTTCATATTTTTTTTATGTATATAGCATTCAGACAATTAGTTTTTTTATACAAAATAAATAAACTGCTTCGCTGAGCGCAGCTGGATACGCCCGCAGAGGTCCAACCCTGAACAGTTGGGGCAAAAATGGACACAATATTCAAGCTTGATACAGGTCTGAATTTGGATTGTAATTAAATATTCGACATATTATAGGTTTCTGAATAATTGTAGTCAAAGAACTTGAAATTGGTTATATGAATTGAATTTATATTTGAATTTGAATTGAGCTTACATCATTAGATATAAACAATTCACCAAAGTTTCATAAGAACTGCTGAAAGCATTTTTTGAGTTTTTGTCTGAAAACTGGAAAATCCCCCTTTTTTATGAATAAAACCCTGTAACTCGGAAACGTAAAATCTAAAATTTATAAAAATCGAAAGGGAGCTCATGTCAATAGATATAAACAATTCACCACAATTTCTTGCAATTTGGTGAAAGCATTCTTGAGTTATTGTCCGAAAACTGAAAAATCCCCCTTTTTTTTTAATGAATAAAACCCCATAACTCGGAAACGTACAATTTAAAATTTATAAAAAACGAAAGGGAGCTCACGTCAATAGATATAAACAATTCACCAAAGTTTTATGCAAATTGGTTAAAGCGTTTTTGAGTTAATGTCCGACATGTTGACGATGGACAGACGGACGGACAAAAGGACAACGGTATACCATAATACGTCCCGTAAAAAGGCGTATAAAAACACTTCAAACAATTAACCAAAGAATGTCTTTAAAAAAATGAGTTATCTCTCTTTGTACAGAAATATGGTTTAACATACAAAATGTAGTACTCTAACATTAGATATGGACCATGATAACTCTGGACTAAATCATCAGACCGGAACAAAATTCAAACTTGATCTATAACTTGTCATGATAAAACTATATACCAAATATCAAATCAATATCTTCAAGAACGAAGAAAAAAAGTGTGGAAAGCTGATTTGCCGGACTGACGGATGGGCAGACGGACTGACAGACAGACGGACGGAGTGCTAACCTAAAGTCCCCTTCGACTTCGTCGCTAGGGGACTAGTAAAAAAAGTTTAATTTTTGACCCTTCAAACCTTAATATGAACTAATTTGAAAACAGGGCCCAAAATAAAAATCTAAATGCACAATAAGATTCAGCAATCATACAGCCGCAATAATTCAGTTTTTGATGAAATCAAACAAAGTTTAATTTTGGACCCTTTTGACCTCAATGTAGACCAATTTAAAAATGGGGCCCAATATCCCAAAAAAATATACAATGTTAGAACCCCCAAAAATTAAAGACTTAATTAATCCTATCGAAATTGGTTAAAACATTTGTACACTATATTTGTTTTCAATTGAAAATTTCTTGCTATTGAGCAATACTGTGCAATTGAAGATTTCAAGCTATTGTGCAATACTGTGCAATTGAAGATTTCTTGCTATTGAGCAATACTGTGCAATTGAAGATTTTTTGCTATTGCGCAATACTGTGCAATTGAAGATTTCTTGCTATTGTGTAATACTGTGCAGTTGAAGATTTCTTGCTGTTGCAAAACACTGTGCTATTGTGCAATTGAAGATTTCTTGCTATTGCGCAATACTGTGATATTGCACAATACTGTGCTATTGCGCAATACTGTGCAATTGAAGATTTCTTGCTATTGCACAATACTGTGCTATTGTGCAATACTGTGCTATTGTATAATACTGTGCTATTGCGCAATACTGTGCTATTGAAGATTTCTTGCTATTGCGTAATACTGTGCAGTTGAAGATTTCTTGCTATTGCGCAACACTGTGCTATTGTGCAATTGAAGATTTCTTGCTATTGCGCAATACTGTGATATTGCACAATACTGTGCTATTGCGCAATACTGTGCAATTGAAGATTTCTTGCTATTGCACAATAGTGTGCTATTGTGCAATACTGTGCTATTGTACAATACTGTGCTATTGCGCAATACTGTGCAATTGAAGATTTCAAAAATTTGAAATTTCAAAAAAATTGAAGAAAAAAAATAAACCCCCCCCCAAAAAAAAATGGAAAAAAAACCCCCCTAACTTTTTGAACCCCCCACCCCCCCTTTTGGAGTAATTACCCCCAAACTCCAGCCTTCTCTTTATGGTATGGAACCATGTAGTACAATTTTAGAGAGATCTATACACTTAAACACTCGTTTTTGTCTGGAAACTAGAAAAATGCTTGTTTTTGGCCCCTTTTTTGCCCCTAATTCCTGAACGTTTGGAGCAATTAACCCCAAATTCAATCCCAGCCTTCCCTTTGTGATATGGAACCTTGTGGTACAATTTCAGAGAGATCCATACACTTACACACAAAAATGCTTGTTTTTGGCCCCTTTTTGGCCCCTAATTCCTAAACTTTTGGTACCATCACCCCCAAAATCAATCCCAACCTTCCTTTTTTTTTCATAGAAATCCATTCACTTAAACTAAAGTTATTCTCCGGAACCAAATGTTTCTTCGGACGACGACGACATCATAGCATTATACGACGCAAAAAATATTTTGCGGTTATATAAAAATCAGCCACCAATATCAAATTCCTAAACAAACAAAAGACTTAATTAGTCACAACCACTTATGAGCCACCTGCATTGGGATATATAAACCAACATATTGCCGAGTTCTGATATTTTTGTGAGTAGTCATCCTTCCTTCTATTGTCTTGTTTTAAAGCGAAATAACAAAGAAAACAAGAGTTCTACAAAATTCAGTCAGAAACTCAAGGTCCGTTATAATAGAATCAACCTGTGGTAATGAAGAAGATATGTTTGTGTCAAATTGATGGAATTTAATCCAGTACATTAAAAAGTACACCAATTCAAAACACATTAATAATGTTAATCTTTGATTTAATTGTCAAAATTAAAGAGTTTATCAACATTTTTATGATTAGACCTTCCACAATGCAACTTTTTCCCTATTACCATGATTACAAGGTATGTATGTTGCACATGTAATGCACTTTCGTTTTTAAGATTTAGTACACCTTTCTGCTTCCAATATATGAAATACAACTTTGAAAATGGTGGACATTATTTCTTTTTATAATACTAGTACAGCACTACTATATAAAAAAATGACAAAGAAATCTAAAGAGTTCAAATCTAGATTTCCCCGTTTTGTTAGATTGAGGTATAATTAAACTCATTTAACAGACTTACAAAATATACCTTATATACTTCACACATTCAAATGTACATGTACTTACATCATTTTTAACTCCTGTAACTGTTGAAACAGATCTTGGTTTACTTTGTCCTGAGATTGTGCCTTATCATTTAAATCCCTGATCATTTTATCTTGTTCACTGATATGTTTATTCTGACTCAAATTGTCACTTCTCAATCTTTCTATTTCATCTTTTTTGCTCTCTAGACCTTTTTCTAGATTAGCTAGTCTTTCACTTGTAGCACTCATTTCGTGATGTAGTCCATCAGTGACTAGACATTGCTTTTTAAGCTGCCTATCTTTTTCATCACACAGTTCTTGTTTTACTTGGAGATCACTATTAAGTTTTTTGTTCATGCACTTCATGTCTTTTATTTTACCATCTTTTTCCTTGTTCTGCACAGAGAGTTCGGCAATATTCATATCTTTCTTGTCTATGATAGAATCTTTCTGTTCATTCTGTGATGTCAGATGTTCTATGCTAGAATCTTTCTGTTCATTCTGTGATGTCAGATGTTCTATGCTAGAATCTTTCTGTTCATTCTGTGATGTCAGATGTTCATTCTGTGATGTCAGATGTTCATTCTGTGATGTCAGATGTTCATTCTGTGATGTCAGATGTTCTATGCTAGAATCTTTCTGTTCATTCTGTGATGTCAGATGTTCATTCTGTGATGTCAGATGTTCTATGCTAGAATCTTTCTGTTCATTCTGTGATGTCAGATGTTCATTCTGTGATGTCAGATGTTCTATGCTAGAATCTTTCTGTTCATTCTGTGATGTCAGATGTTCTATGCTAGAATCTTTCTGTTCATTCTGTGATGTCAGATGTTCTATGCTAGAATCTTTCTGTTCATTCTGTGATGTCAGATGTTCTATGCTAGAATCTTTCTGTTCATTCTGTGATGTCAGATGTTCTATGGTAATGTCTTTCTGTTTTATGGAAGTGTCTTTCTGTTTTATGGTAGTGTCTTTCTGTTTTATGGTAGTGTCTTTTTCAGCTACTTCCACACTTAAGTGAACATTTTCTTTGTCAAGAACAGCATTCTGCATATCCTTTCTTCTATTATCTTGTTGTAACCTATTACATCTGGTATTTACTTGATTATTTTCTCCAATGAGCCTTGCACACGTATTTTGCAAAAGACCATTATTAGTAACATGTTGTTGATTAATTGTATTTAACTGTCCAGCAGTATCTATAGCCTGTTCAAATCTTCTCTGTAAGTTCAGACGGTCTGTTATCAGATTCTGTAGTTGGTTTTGTTGTTCTGTAGACACATGTACAGCATGATCTAAAGCCATTCTAAAGTTCTCTTGGTTAAGATTCAGATTACTGTTGTCTGATTCTAGGTCTATGTTTTTCTGGTGCATTTCCACTGAAATAAATAAAATATCCTATATAACAATAAACAAGACCTCATTGGGTATAATTTAAAGAATGCTTTACATCTACATAAATATAGTCAAAATATCATCGAACAGTTTATTCAATTTTAGTTGTATTATTTAAAAAATTCCCAAACCTAACAATCTGTCTAAGGAAAAATGTCTTAAACGTTTTACTTTTTATGCTTAAAATTAAGAATATAATTAACCTTTACTTGAATATCTAAGGGTTGCTGCAGTAATCTTTTTACCGATCAAAATTAATATCTTTTATCTGGATACAAAAAACAATAGTTTATATTTACAAGAATGGACAACTCAGAAATGTCTTTCTTTCTTGATTGATTATGGCTAAATAATATGTAGCAAATTTGTGAGATCAATATTAAACTGCATGTATCAAAGTTACAAAGGGGCATTGTAGTCTGATTATCATATAACAATCTAGGAATATTAGGTCTAACACATAAAGTAATTTAAAAACTGACCTCACCAATAAACCATTAAAATGATCAATGTCAAGTTAACCCTGTAAGACATGCATGGAAACCTTGGTAGACCAAATATAGTTGATTTTTTTACCAATTGTAATTTAGAAACTGAGCTAAGCCTAAAATCGAAATGCTGATCAATGAACCAAGAAAATGAAGTAAAGGTCACTAGACCCCTGTCAGATCTACTAGAGGAATATGTACACATCACAATATTTTCATTAAACAAATATAGTTGACCTATTTCCTATTAAAACTTAGAAACTGACCTAACCGCAATAACTTATTGTTGATCAATAACAATTAAAACAAGTCATGATACACCGGAATTTAAATTTTACCATAATTCCACAAACCAAGTTCAGTTAACCTGTTAACCTTACTTATAGTAACAAAAAAAATTACTTAATCATAAAGATTTAACGTTTTTATTATGCAATAAACAATGAAAATGACGTCAAATGCAGAAGTCAACATAAACTGCTTTGCTGAGCGCAGCTGGATACGCCCGCAGAGGTCCAACCCTGAACAGTTGGGGCAAAAATGGACACAATATTCAAGCTTGATACAGGTCTGAATTTGGATTGTATTAAATATTTGACATATTATAGGTTTCTGAATAAATGTAGTCAAAGAACTTGAAATTGGTTATATGAATTGAATTTATATTCAATTAAAGATTTCTTGCTGTTGTGCAATACACTGTGCTGTTGCGCAATACTTAGTAAATCTGTTGTCAGACTATCAACAATTAAAGTTCAATTAATTCTCAATGTCATATTAGAAATTTATGAAAATGTAAAGGGAGCTTACAACAATAGATATAAACAATTCACCAAAGTTTCATGAGAATTGGTGACAGCATTTTTGAGTTCTTGTCCGAAAACTGGAAAATCCCCCCTTTTTTAATGAATAAAACCCCATAACTCAGAAATGTAAAATGTAAAATTTATAAAATTCTAAATGGAGCTTACATCAATAAATATAAACAATTCACCAAAGTTTCATAAGAACTGCTGAAAGCCTTTTTGATTTTTTGTCAGAAAACTGGAAAATCCCCCTTTTTTTATGAATAAAACCCTGTAATTCGGAAACATAAAATCTAAAATATATAAAAATCGAAAGGGAGCTCATGTCAATAGATATAAACAATTCACCACAATTTCTTGCAAGTTGGTTAATGTCCGACATGTTGACGACGGACGGACATACGGACAAGTATACCATAATATGTCCCGTAAACGGGCGTATAATGAGGAAATCTTCAAGTTTTTTTACATTTTAAAATATTAAACCTTGTGTAAATATGCCAATTTCAAATCTGTCCTCCGTTGGAGAAATAAAATGTTCAAAAATTTATTTGGCATCACAACATGTCACATAAGCATTTATTTGTCCCTCCTTGAGCAAATTTCTAGCTAGTGATTAAATAACCAAAAAGTTATAATTTTTTTTTATTAAATGTAAATTATGCATATTTCGACCTTTTTTTGGCCAAGCATATGATATATTCAAAATGGCACATAGAATACACAGAAATTCATTTATAAAGAAAGAAAATGAATTGTCCAACAAAGTAATATCAAATCTAAACAAGCATTCTGTGAGTATTGCATGGCAATACATAGTCCCCTACCGGTTACAAATTCATTGTAATGGAACGAAATTCTAACTTGATCTATAACTTGTCATGGTGTAAACTACATAAATTATCAAGTCAAAATCTTCAAGCATAACGAAAATGAACTGCTTCGCTGAGCGCAGCTAGATACGCCCGCAGAGGTCCAACCCTGAACAGTTGGGGCAAAAATGGACACAATATTCAAGCTTGATTCAGGTCTGAATTTGGATTGTTTAAATATTTGACATATTATAGGTTTCTGAATAAATGTAGTCAAAGAACTTGAAATTGGTTATATGAATTGAATTTATATTCAATTAAAGATTTCTTGCTGTTGTGCAATACTTAGTAAATCTGTTGTCAGACTATAAACAAATAAAGTTCAATTAATTCTCAATGTCATATTAGAAATTTATGAAAATAAAAAGAGAGCTTACAATAATAGATATAAACAATTCACCAAGTTTCATGAGAATTGGTGACAGCATTTTTGAGTTCTTGTCCGAAAACTGGAAAATCACCCCTTTTTTTAATGAATAAAACCCCATAACTCAGAAATGTAAAATGTAAAATTTATAAAATTCTAAAGGGAGCTTACATCAATACGTACAAACAATTCACCAAAGTTCCATAAGAATTGCTGAAAGCATTTTTGAGTTTTTGTCCAAAAATTGGGAAATCCCCCCTTTTTTTATGAATAAAACCCTGTAACTCGGAAACGTAAAATCTAAAATTTATAAAAATCAAAAGGGAGCTCATGTCAATAGATATAAACAATTCACCACAATTTCTTGCAAGTTGGTGAAAGCATTCTTGACTTATTGTCAGAAAACTGGAAAATCCCCCTTTTTTTAATGAATAAAACCTCATAACTTGGAAACGTAAAATCTAAATTTTATAAAAAACGAAAGGGAGCTCACGTCAATAGATATAAACAATTCACCAAAGTTTTATGCAAATTGGTTAAAGCATTTTTGAGTTAATGTCCGACATGTTGACGACGGACAGACGGGCGGACAGACGGACGGACAGACGGACGGACAACGGTATACCATAATATGTCCCGTAAACGGGCGTATAAAAACTGTTGAAAACTGATTATTTAAGTGAATTTTCTATGTCTAAAGACCATAACTCTGCACAAAATTTTTTATCAGACTGGAACAAAATTCCAACTTGATCTGTAACTTGTCATGATAAAACTATATACTTATTATCAAATCAATATCTTCAAGAATGACAAACAAACCTACCACTTAATTCTTCAAACAATTTACCAAAGAAAAGGGAAAAAATCCAAAATGTCATTTTGTCTTTTAAAAAATGAGTGATTTCCCTTTGAACAGAAATCTACTAATTAATAAGTATTTCATCAAAAATTTAATTCTAGGGAAAGGGCTTTAACTGAACAAAGAGAAAAGCTAAAATCGTGAAAATTGAACTTGACCTGTAACTTGTCATGATGAATCAATAAATCAATAAACCAAATATCAAATCAATATCTTCAAGCACGAAGAAAAAAAGTCTGGAAAACTGATTTGCCGGACTGACAGATGGACAGACAGACGGACAGACAGACGGACGGAGTGTAAACCTAAAGTCCCGTTCGACTTCGTCTGTAGCGGACTAATAATTATTTATTTTGAAGCTGTTTACAATAAAACTACTTTATTTTTGATAATAAAACAGTGAAGCCAAGAGGGCAAGATATGCTTGTTATCTGCATATTGAAATTATTGTAAGAATAAAACGGAATATTGTAGAAGGCATTAAAATAGAATGCAGTGAAAAATAAAATGCTCCGCAAGGCGCAGCTTGATACGACTGCAGAGGTCGACCCTGAGCAGTTGGGGCAAAGATGGACAATACATTCAAGCTTGATTCAGCTCTGAATTTGGATTGTGATTAAATATTTTACACGTCATACGGTTTCTGGCACAGAATAAATGTGGTCAAAGAACTGAAAAATTGAAATTGGACTTTTACTTATTATGGTCCAATATCCAAAATCTAAATACACGGTTAGCTTCAGCATATCATAGAACCCCAAGAATCTAATTTTTGATGAAATCAAACAACAAAAAAAGTTCAATTTTGGACCCTTTGGACCTCAATTTAAAATATTTATTAATGGACAATATGAGATAAGTTTTTAAGGGGTTTGCTTCATCTAAAAAAAAAAAAATATATATATAGCATTCTGAAAATTAATTTATACAAATAACAAACAAACATACCACAAAGTTCTTAAAAAAATTTACCAAAAATAATTAAATTTTTTCTTCTTCAAAATATCACTCCCCATTAATACAGTCCTAAATTTATCCCAAAGAAATCGCATCAAAATGATGATGGATTGAAAATCAGCTTATCAGCCACACCACTAAGAAAATACAAAATTTTCCAATTATAATTGTGTTATTTGATGAAAACCACATGTTTTGTTTTCTTTATAATAAGTGGTAATTGCTGCATGAATGAATTGATATCCATATTCATAAATGTGAATATTTAGTTAATTACACATGTAAATATGTAATTCAAATTGTGTGTAATTTTTATAGAAAGAAAAAGAAAAATTTCATTTTTTTTAAATAATAATAATAATGCATGTTTTTTTGGGTTTTTTTTAAGTGGTCTAAGTACCTAAATAATCTAAAATTGGATATTTACCAATTAAGGTCCAATATCTAAAATCTAAATACATGGTTGGAATCAGCATATCAAAGAACCCCAAGAATTCAATTTTTGATGAAATCAAACAAAAGTTTTTGACCCTTTGGACCTCAATGTGGACCAATTTGATGTGACCCAAAATCAAAAATCTAAATACACAGTTAGATTCAGCATATCAAAGAACCCAATTTTTTTTGTTGAA